GCAGCCGGAAAGCTGCTATAGGATACTTCTGGAAGTGATCCGGTTGGTCCTGGGGCTGCTGAAATGCTCCTGGATGGATTCCGGGTGCTCCTGGGCTGCTGGAATGCTCCTGGATGGATTCCGGGTGGCCCTGGGGCTGCTGGGATGCTCCGGGATGCATTCCGGGTGGTTCTGGGGCTGCTGGGATGCTCCTAGATGCATTCCGGGTGGTTCTGGGGCTGCTGGGATGCTCCTGGATGGATTCCGGGTGGCCCTGGGGCTGCTGGGATGCTCCTAGATGCATTCCGGGTGGTTCTGGGGCTGCTGGGATGCTCCTGGATGCATTCCGGGTGCTCCTGGTGCTGCTGGGATGCTCCTGGATGGATTCCGGGTGGCCCTGGGGCTGCTGGGATGGTCCTGGATGCATTCCGGGTGCTCCTGGGGCTGCTGGAATGCTCCTGGATGCATTCCGGGTGGTTCTGGGGCTGCTGGGATGCACCTGGATGCATTCCGGGTGCTCCAGGGGCTGCTGGAATGCTCCTGGATGGATTCTAGGTGGTTCTGGGGCTGCTGGGATGCTCCTGGATGGATTCCGGGTGGTTCTGGGGCTGCTGGGATGCTCCTGGATGGATTCCGGGTGGCCCTGGGGCTGCTGGGATGCTCCTGGATGCATTCCGGGTGGTTCTGGGGCTGCTGGGATGCTCCTGGATGGATTCCGGGTGGCCCTGGGGCTGCTGGGATGCTCCTGGATGCATTCCGGGTGCTCCTGGGGCTGCTGGGATGCTCCTGGATGCATTCCGGGTGCTCCTGGGGCTGCTGGGATGCTCCTGGATGCATTCCGGGTGCTCCTGGGGCTGCTGGGATGCTCCTGGATGGATTCCGGGTGCTCCTGGGGCTGCTGGAATGCTCCTGGATGCATTCCGGGTGGTTCTGGGGCTACTGGAATGCTCCTGGATGGATTCCGGGTGGCCCTGGGGCTGCTGGGATGCTCCTAAATGCATTCCGGTTGGTTCTGGAGCTGCTGGGATGCTCTTGGATGCATTCCGGGTGCTCCTGGTGCTGCTGGGATGCTCCTGGAAGCGATCCGGGTGGCCCTGGGGTTGCTGGGATGCTCCTGGATGCAGTCCGGGTGCTCCAGGGGCTGCTGGAATGCTCCTGGATGGATTCCGGGTGGCCCTGGGGCTGCTGGAATGCTCCTGGATGGATTCCGGTGGCCCTGGTGCTGCTGGGATGCTCCTGGATGGATTCCGGGTGGCCCTGGGGCTGCTGGGATGCTCCTAGATGCATTCCGGGTGGTTCTGGGGCTGCTGGGATGCTCCTGGATGCATTCCGGGTGCTCCTGGTGCTGCTGGGATGCTCCTGGATGCATTTCGGGTGCTCCAGGGGCTGCTGGAATGCTCCTGGATGGATTCCGGGTGGCGCTGGGGCTGCTGGGATGCTCCTGGATGCATTCCGGGTGGTTCTGGGGCTGCTGGGATGCTCCTGGATGGATTCCGGGTGGCCCTGGGGCTGCTGGGATGCTCCTGGATGCTTTCCGGGTGCTCCTGGATGGATTCCGGGTGGCCTTGGGGCGGCAGGGATCCTTCTGGGGCTGCTGGAATGCGCCTGGATGGATTCCCGGTGCTCCTGGTGCTGCTGGGATGCTCCTGGAAGCGATCTGGATGGCCCTGGGGCTGCTGGGATGCTCCTGGATGGATTCTGGGTGCTCCTGGGGCTGCTGGGATGCTCCTGGATGGATTCCGGGTGGCCCTGGGGCTGCTGGGATGCTCCTAAATGCATTCCGGGTGCTCCTGGGGCTGCTGGAATGCTCCTGGATGCATTCCGGGTGCTCCAGGGGCTGCTGGAATGCTCCTGGATGGATTCCGGTGGCCCTGGTGCTGCTGGGATGCTCCTGGATGGATTCCGGGTGGCCCTGGTGCTGCTGGGATGCTCCTGGATGGATTCCGGGTGGCCCTGGGGCTGCTGGGATGCTCCTGGATGCATTCCGGGTGGTTCTGGGGCTGCTGGGATGCTCCTGGATGCATTCCGGGTGCTCCTGGTGCTGCTGGGATGCTCCTGGATGGATTCCGGGTGGCCCTGGTGCTGCTGGAATGCTCCTGGATGGATTCTAGGTGGTTCTGGGGCTGCTGCGATGCTTCTGGATGCATTCCGGGTGGTTCTGGGGCTGCTGGGATGCTCCTGGATGCATTCCGGGTGCTCCTGATGGTGCTGGGATGCTCCTGGAAGCGATCCGGGTGGCCCTAAGGCTGCTGGGATGCTCCTGGATGCATTCCGGGTGGTTCTGGGGCTGCTGGGATGCTCCTGGATGGATTCCGGGTGGCCCTGGGGCTGCTGGGATGCTCCTGGATGCATTCCGGGTGCTCCTGGGGCTGCTGGAATGCTCCTGGATGCATTCCGGGTGCTCCAGGGGCTGCTGGAATGCTCCTGGATGGATTCCGGTGGCCCTGGTGCTGCTGGGATGCTCCTGGATGGATTCCGGGTGGCCCTGGTGCTGCTGGGATGCTCCTGGATGGATTCCGGGTGGCCCTGGGGCTGCTGGGATGCTCCTAGATGCATTCCGGGTGGTTCTGGGGCTGCTGGGATGCTCCTGGATGCATTCCGGGTGCTCCTGGTGCTGCTGGGATGCTCCTGGATGCATTCCGGGTGCTCCAGGGGCTGCTGGAATGCTCCTGGATGGATTCCGGGTGGCCCTGGGGCTGCTGGGATGCTCCTGGATGCATTCCGGGTGGTTCTGGGGCTGCTGGGATGCTCCTGGATGGATTCCGGGTGGCCCTGGGGCTGCTGGGATGCTCCTGGATGCTTTCCGGGTGCTCCTGGATGGATTCCGGGTGGCCTTGGGGCGGCAGGGATCCTTCTGGGGCTGCTGGAATGCGCCTGGATGGATTCCCGGTGCTCCTGGTGCTGCTGGGATGCTCCTGGAAGCGATCCGGATGGCCCTGGGGCTGCTGGGATGCTCCTGGATGGATTCTGGGTGCTCCTGGGGCTGCTGGAATGCTCCTGGATGGATTCTAGGTGGTTCTGGGGCTGCTGCGATGCTTCTGGATGCATTCCGGGTGGTTCTGGGGCTGCTGGGATGCTCCTGGATGCATTCCGGGTGCTCCTGATGGTGCTGGGATGCTCCTGGAAGCGATCCGGGTGGCCCTAAGGCTGCTGGGATGCTCCTGGATGCATTCCGGGTGGTTCTGGGGCTGCTGGGATGCTCCTGGATGGATTCCGGGTGGCCCTGGGGCTGCTGGGATGCTCCTGGATGCATTCCGGGTGGTTCTGAGGCTGCTGGGATGCTCCTGGATGCATTCCGGGTGCTCCAGGGGCTGCTGGAATGCTCCTGGATGGATTCTAGGTGGTTCTGGGGCTGCTGCGATGCTTCTGGATGCATTCCGGGTGGTTCTGGGGCTGCTGGGATGCTCCTGGATGCATTCCGGGTGCTCCTGGTGCTGCTGGGATGCTCCTGGAAGCGATCCGGGTGGCCCTGGGGTTGCTGGGATGCTCCTGGATGCATTCCGGGTGCTCCAGGGGCTGCTGGAATGCTCCTGGATGGATTCTAGGTGGTTCTGGGGCTGCTGGAATGCTCCTGGATGGATTCTAGGTGGTTCTGGGGCTGCTGGGATGCTCCTGGATGCATTCCGGGTGCTCCTGATGGTGCTGGGATGCTCCTGGAAGCGATCCGGGTGGCCCTAAGGCTGCTGGGATGCTCCTGGATGCATTCCGGGTGGTTCTGGGGCTGCTGGGATGCTCCTGGATGGATTCCGGGTGGCCCTGGGGCTGCTGGGATGCTCCTGGATGCATTCCGGGTGGTTCTGAGGCTGCTGGGATGCTCCTCGATGCATTCCGGGTGCTCCAGGGGCTGCTGGAATGCTCCTGGATGGATTCCGGTGGCCCTGGTGCTGCTGGGATGCTCCTGGATGGATTCCGGGTGGCCCTGGTGCTGCTGGGATGCTCCTGGATGGATTCCGGGTGGCCCTGGGGCTGCTGGGATGCTCCTAGATGCATTCCGGGTGGTTCTGGGGCTGCTGGGATGCTCCTGGATGCATTCCGGGTGCTCCTGGTGCTGCTGGGATGCTCCTGGATGCATTCCGGGTGCTCCAGGGGCTGCTGGAATGCTCCTGGATGGATTCCGGGTGGCCCTGGGGCTGCTGGGATGCTCCTGGATGCATTCCGGGTGGTTCTGGGGCTGCTGGGATGCTCCTGGATGGATTCCGGGTGGCCCTGGGGCTGCTGGGATGCTCCTGGATGCATTCCGGGTGGTTCTGAGGCTGCTGGGATGCTCCTCGATGCATTCCGGGTGCTCCTGGGGCTGCTGGAATGCTCCTGGATGCATTCCGGGTGCTCCAGGGGCTGCTGGAATGCTCCTGGATGGATTCCGGTGGCCCTGGTGCTGCTGGGATGCTCCTGGATGGATTCCGGGTGGCCCTGGTGCTGCTGGGATGCTCCTGGATGGATTCCGGGTGGCCCTGGGGCTGCTGGGATGCTCCTGGATCCATTCCGGGTGGCCCTGGGGCTGCTGGGATGCTTCTGGATGCATTCCGGGTGGTCCTTGGGCTGCTAGGATACTTTTGGAAGCGATCCAGGTGGTCCTGGGCCTGCTGGGATTCTTTGGGGTGCATTCCAGGTGCTCCAGGGTTCGCTAGGTTGCTTTTGGAAGCACGTTGGACGCTTCTAGGCCGACCGGAATGCTTTAGAAATTACGCTGGATCCGCCCATGTGAACGACTATCACTACTATCAGTAGCACCGAAGAACCAAATCAAAACCCCGCTCGAATCTTTTAAGGATTCTCATAAACTATCCTCTAATCCTATGCACTCTTATCCTACCCATAGGCTTATTCTACAGTTTCTGTCAAAAATCTAAAACAAGGTGAGTACCTCCGCTATCAGAAATGGAAGCTTGGTTCTGTCTCGAAGGACCAAAAGTTTTCTCTTGTGGAGGATATATATCTCCTCCTCCATACCCATATATATATGAGATAGCTTTGGTGGTTTGTTACATTTTCCATTTTTTTTATATTTGTAGTTCACTCACCTGCATCATCTTGTTGAGGCACTCCACGTATATCGTCTCGCTCTGGATGATGGAGCTGAGTATGGAACGTATTTTGGCACCACGGGCATTTCCACAGACCTGTCATACGGAGATGTCATGAATAAAAGTTATGAATAAAATGAACTGAAGACACCTCTTTCCAAATTATATACTTGTGGATGGAGGCAACATTTAAACAGAAGGGCATTTATGTACAGGAGGGAGTATTGGGTGCTTAAGGGGGGTTTCTTTCTAGACCTTAAGCCTCACTATCATGGAATACAAAATGAACCCAAAATTCAGGCAAAAAAAATGGATTAGACAGAGACAGGGTGAAAGCACACAAATGGGAGTGAGTGGGGGACGTCGACAATTGATCAGTGCAAGTATATACAATCGTACGAAGATATATAATAATAATAATATATATATATATATGTCTATATATGGGTGAAAGTGTAAAGTGAGGAACTGAGGGCAGAACTAAACCAACAAAGAGACAAAAAACACACAAAAGTAATGGAAGAAAGCGCATTCAAGGAAGCTATAGCTGTACAGATCATAGATCATATCACAAGAAGGCTACAATCTATAACTATATAGCGTCTATATATATATATATCCTGATCCTGGTACTCACAAGTATCGCTGAAACAAGGTTCTGTTAAGGGAGAGAAAGTAAAAAGACAGACATCGATGGTTAGTAAGGTTAATTAGTAAATAAATCTAAAAAAAAAAGTCTTAAAGTTAAAATTATGGCCTGGAGGAGGTAGAGATTAGGGCTATAGGGCTGTAGAGCTTGAGAAGCTGGTATTATAGTCATGGCTGACTTCATTGTAGAATCAATTGTGTCATCTGGAGAATGAAAAACAACTTGGAATCTTGGCTTTGAATCATTTGTGAATAAAACCATATTCCGATTCGAAAAGTTTCTTTAAAATAGCGTCTAAGGGGGGGTACTACTATACTACTTTTGTAGTTTCTATACCCCAGAGCACATGCAATTTGCAATCAATTAGCGATAACGACAAATATGTTAAGTGTCGAAGCGTGCGCTTAGTCATCCGGGTGGTGGCGGAGAGATGTATTGCATCAGACCCGCATTAGACCCCGAAATGGGAGGGGAGGCTGCTACCAGGGGGGACTCCATTACTCTGGTTATATTGAGCTCACCTTGCGCAGGGCTCCCGGCGTGTTCTGTGACGTGGTGGTGCTGGTGGTGGTCTGTTCGTCGTGGGATATGGTGCGCAATATGGGCGGACCCTCGTATTCGCCATCGCTGTCCAGTGAACTGGAACGTGTCTCGTTGCTTTGCCTGCAAGGAGGGGGAGGAAGGGGGGCAATGGTAGTTTGCTTATATAAATAGATTCATAATTATCCCTAAAGATAAAACTGAAACATACTGTAGGAAATAGTCGATATTGACGTAGTTGGAGGTCCGGCCGGGAGATTCGGGATCCGCCACACTGGCCAGGGGCAGGGTGCTGCTGCCGGGCGTCGACAGGTCATCGCGACTGGAGGAGGAGCCGGTGCGGCCGGGCTTAATGAACACATACTCGCCCTCGCCGTTGTCCAGCGGCACGCTGTCATAATACGGCTCATTGTCCGCCGCAGAAGCTGCCGGATTCTGTTGGGAGCCTGCCGTCGCCGCCCCCGCCGCCTTGGCGCTCTCAGAGCTCAGCGAGGATACACTCTCATAGCTTTTGATCTGCAAACCAGGATTAGGATGAGATCATGGAACAAGTAAACCGAATTATAGATAAACCCACCACTTCTGATATGCCCTGCGAGGCCAGGGACTCCTTGGAGCCGGCACTTCGCTGATTGGCTGATTCCGCATCGCTGGCCTGCAGGGAGGTGCGCGATTTCTTCTCCAGGCTGCTCGTGGAGCTGCTGTCCGCCGCCGCCAACTTGGCGCTTTTGTTCAGGCTACCCGTGGGCGAGGCGCCCACTCCCGCTGCCGTCCTGCCCGGTGTCAGAGCTCGGCCCGGCGTGGAGGCCGTCCGTCCCAGACTGCCACCGCCACTGCCGCTGGACGGCGAGGCCGAGGAGTCGCTCCTCTTGGCCTGCTCCAGGCCATCCGCCTTGCCACCGCCCACCATTTTGCGTCCCAGCTCCTCCATCAGCTCCGGATTGTTGACGTTCACGAACTTGCCCAGCTCGGGTGTGGTCTTGCGATTGGCCGCATACTTGGCGTCCAGGTTCTCGGAAGACTTCTGGCGCAGGATGTCCGAGGGCTTGATGTTGCGTTCCAACGAGTTGCCGGGACTGTCGGAGGACAGACTGCCGCCGGAGCTGCTCGGCAGTGGCATGGTGCTGCCCGCAAAGGGGCCATCCCGTTTGGGGGAGGAGGACAGCTGCTGGCTGGGAATGGTTGGCGGTTCCACGCGTCGAACATTCTTTGGCGGAGGTCTGCAACATAATGAATCATTAATTCCAATCCCAATCCCATCCAGACTCGCGATAGACTCACCTGGGTGGCATTTTCTTTTTCTCGACGTGGGCGGCGTACGAGGTGAGCGAGGGCGAAAGGGGCGGTGCTGTAGGCTCCACACCCACACCCACGCCGCCACCGGATGCACTGCCGCCTGCAAAGCGGGAGAAGGTGGAGGGCGGAGTGGGTTGTTGCTGCGACGGCTGCTGGTCGTTGACCGAAGTGGCGGCATTGTCGCCGTCTTTGTCTTTGGCCTCCTTGACCTGGATGACGGTGACGTATTGTGATGTGGACTTGCGCAGCGGCAATTTCGTGGCAGCGGTATCCTTGTCTCCATCGACACCTCCCACCCCAGCCCCAGCCCCAGCACCACCATTATCCGGCTGGGCTTTTATGGACGCCGCCAGTTCTGTGATGCATTGCTGGAGTGCTCCATTTGCATCCTTCTCATTGCCGCTATCCTTATCCCTATCCTCCCGTTCGAAGCTCAGATCCGGAATGCGCTTGGCTGTGGGCGGGGCAGAGTTGAGGCCACTGCCACCGCCACCGCCTCCACTGCCCGTGGCATTCTGACTTGTGTGTGTGTATTTGTTGTCTGTGTTAAGGGACAAGCGATCCTTGTCCTTGCCACCAGCGGAGGAGGAAGACTCTCGAAGATTTAAACTGGATTTCTAAAAAAAAATAAAGAGAGAGAGAAGATATTAAAATTCTGCCTAAATTAGCATAAAGATTGGTTTTACAAATTGGGAGAAATCGGTTAGAATTCACTGATTGCAGAACCACCAAAACGGGAGCTCTCTCTCAGCCATGTGCTAATTGGTTACCAATAGCTTTGGATAAGGCTTAAAGGCCAACACCTCCACATCTTAAAAATTGCAAACTATTTTTATAAAAATTTTTATATGTTTCAGATGCCGGGCACGTACATAGTCGTTTCTCTTCAAGTCTACATTGGCCGGCTACCACTACCACCACCACCAAGACAACATGCCACTGGAAATCGACAACAAACTTGGCTTAAACGTGCGTGCCGCGTTTCTTCTCGTTTCTTTCTTTCTTTCTTGCCAACAAATATCTATATATGTATAGGTCTTTCTTTATTTTTGGGCATTGAGTAGAAGAAGAAGAAAAAAAAGTGAAAACTAAAAAAAAAAAAAAAAGAGAGCAGTGGCCAGCCAGACAACGAGGCTTATTACCAAAATGGAAAATTGCCAAAAAAAAAAAAAAAATAATAATAAATAAATAATAATGATTTTAGAAGGGGTGGGTAGCTGCCAGGTGGGTGGATGGTTAGATGGATGGCTTGGCTTAGTTGGCTTGGCTGGCTGGATGGCTGACTGGCTGGCTGGATGTGACCAAGCGGAGCGATGAAGAAAGCGTGCCCAAGTGCGTCTCTCAAAAGCCCCGAAGGTCGATGGCTACTGGTTTGTCTTTTACACAGAAAAAAAAATAAATACAGCTGTATAGAGAGAAATCTTTAAAACTCAATACTACTATTATTTTAAGATTTAAATTTTAAAAAAATTCTATAAATTTTCTCTCTCTGTTTTTGAGAGAAGACTTCTTGTTGTCCTCCATCATCATCATCATCAAATACAGCTGTATAGAGAGAAATCTTTAAAACTCAATACTACTATTATTTTAAGATTTAAATTTTAAAAAAATTCTATAAATTTTCTCTCTCTGTTTTTGAGAGAAGACTTCTTGTTGTCCTCCATCATCATCATCATCATGCAGTGCATTGATACAATTACTTAGCATATTGTCCAATTAACAGGCACTTGGGGTCATAGGCAGCTTATCAGAGCCCATTTTCTCAGGCGGCTGGCTGCTGAGAAATGGCATGAGTAATGCCACTTTAACCCCCGAGAGTCACTTGGGCAATAAATGGGACAGATTTTCTTTAAAGATTTCCAAGAATACCCAGTTCTTTAAAATAGAAACTATAAACTAGAAATATTATAGAGTTTTCTAGAGGGTATAATGACTTAATTAATCCCTATCTTCCTTAATAAATACTGCATTTTGTAGATCAATATATTCCCTTTACACCCTTTTTTTTTTAGAATTTCTTACTTAAAAAAACATCTGTTAAACAAACATGGCCCTTGAGTTATTGGCCATTTTTTGAATCACAATCTCTTTTGGCCAAAAGTCACCCGCACATGTAAGAACTCCGCCCCCTCTGGTATGGTATTATTGATATGGCTTGGGGCTTATCAGGGAATATACATATATATACATTGTGCGTCGGCTGCTTTTGCGGCACAGATTGCTGCCGAAAGGGCGCCCACTCGAACAACAACAATAAAAAAAATACAAAAAAAAAGCAGTTTCACGCCTTTTTTTAAACTGCTTTTGAAAGAGAGGGGGAAAGTATCTCCAAGATACATATACATAGATCTTAAATCTAAAAAGTTAAGATAGCCAACTGAAAAAGTTACGGGTAATGTATTTCAAAGCCTAGAAAGGAAATATTTAGTGGTTTTTAAAATACCTAATACCATTGACTAAAAAAAAGAATAAAAACACTATTATAACTAAGACTTTGTCCTCTATTGTGTTTTTTTTTTTTTTGTCAAGTGCCTTGCCTTAACGCCTATTTTTTTTTTTAAAACCGCTTGCCGTTATTGCTTAATTTTTCAGCCACACAACCATATGATACTGCTACAGATACAGATACAGCTACAGCTACAGATATAGCTACAGATACAGAGTACTTGTATGTTGAAGCTATAGCTGTATTGGTACTTTGTTATATGGCATATTTTTGCGATAAGTTTATTGATTTCAACTTGTGATAATACCACAACAACATTGTTGTTGTCTCGAAATATTTTATACGATAGTTAAACGATAGTTAGACGATAGTTCTTAACTGTTTTTACGCACCCCTCTGGACCATAATTTGAATTTCTCTTTAAAGGAAGCCATGCTTGGAGATCATTCAGCGCCACTTTGTTGAAATTTTTTTTATTTGTTTGTTTTGGAATTTTTTATTTTTATTTTTTTTTTTTTAGGGAGAGAATTTTACTTTTGGGAGAGAGGGCACAACTTAGTGAGGATGACTAGGCGACGCTAACGCCAACGTCGACCGAGACTGCGACTGCGACTGCAACTGCTACGCCGCTAACAGTGCTGACCACGAAAACTTGAGTCAACCGAACACGTTAACAAAAGATACAGATACACGACAATACACGGATACAAGGCGATACGAAGCTATACGGTTATACGATCTATACGGTCTATATGGCGGCCCCAAAAACGGAAGACGGAGCTCTATGAATACGAATGCAAAAATATATATATTATAGGTATTTTTTTTTACGTAATTTTTTTGTTGTTATTACTGTCTGGGGCTTAACAGGTGTTTGTTTGGTTTTTTTTTTTGTTTTAACTTTTAAAATGTAATTGAACTTTTAACATAATTTTTGTAATTTTATTTTTTGTTTTAAAGACTTTGTTTTTTATTTTTCAGACACCCGTATACCCGTACCCGTATCCGTATCCGTTCGTTTGGCCCGTCACAGTTATTCACCCAAAACTACTACTGGCGGGGACAATATATTCTCATGCTGCCACTGGCTGCAACGCTGACTGAGGCCGAGGCAGAGGCCGAAGCCGAGGCCGAGGCAGAAGCAGAGTCATAGACAGCCTAAAGAAAAAAAAATAATGCTATACACCCCCACAGACGCAGGTCTTTGGTGCAGTGGTGTGGGTTGATAACGGGCTTGGGGGAACCAACGATTCCAGATATCGGCAAAGTGCTATAGCCCATAGGCATTATACAGCCCATAGGCCTAGATAGGCTGGGCAGAGAAGTTGCCAGAAGCAGTGGCAGAGGCAGAGACAGAGGCAGAAGTGGCAGCAGATGTTGCAAGTTGTCAACTTTGACTTTATAGCCCAAAAAGATCTTCTTCTATTTTTTAGCTATTTTTTAAGCTTTTTTTTTAAATTAAAATTAATATTAGAGTGCATTTATCGAATATTTTAATGCTCATCTCTATTACTTGTATTTTTTAAAGCGCTATCGCTATTCCCCTCGAACTTTTCCTTTTATTTTAGCCCCGTCTGACAGCTATACCCCCTTATCTGATACTGATAAGCAGGCAATGACATTTGCAGAAGAAAGCTACAGAAGAATGCAGGCCAGCGAAGAAAGATGAGCGCCTGGTAGCATAACGCCAGCCCTTTGGTTGGAAAGGAGGAGTTATTTAAGTAAGGGGAGTTACTAATTAAATAATAAGACTTTAAGATTAAGAATAAGGAATTAAAAAGAATTTTTAAAAATAAAGTATCTTCAGGCTCTTAAGAGGGGTGGGGTTTTAGAGCTTATGGGCCTTAACCAGTTGGGAATTCTAGCAAAAGAGATATTCTAACTAATAAGAGGAGTTTTGAAAAAAAATTAAGAGTTTTTTAAAATCAAATTAAGATTAGCTGGTTAACGTGGTTAATAGTTAACCAAAAAGTATCTTAGTTATCTTGTCTAGGATGTAAGTACCTCTTAGAGGTTCTTGGAGATACTTCTTGGCTTTTATTTAGTTTCTGGACTGTGATTAATTAAGAATTCTAACATCAGACGTTAAAGGTTAGTTAGAATAAGAGGATTTTTAAAATAAATAGTTTACTTAAAGATAAAGCCAAGGAATTATATAGAAATATTACAGAAATGTGTCTATGATCTTTCATATTTTTCCAAGAACTTCTCTCTAAGCCGGCTTGGCTTTTATACTTTTATGGCTAGAACTAGTTGGGAATTATTGGTTAGAGGTTAGAGAGGTTAGAATTAGTATTAGAAAAGTTATTAAAGGAAATTTTAAGAACGAAAGACTAAGAATTCTTCCAAATAGTATCTATATTCAAAGATCCAAGCCATATCTTAGTGAGCTTGTCACTTTTCAAGCTATAGGGGTTAAAGCCAGTTGAGAATTCTAGCATAAATTACTGAGAATAAGGAGTGCTATTTAAGGTTAGTTATAAAACAAGAACTTAACTTTAAGAAAAGACTAAAACTTAAAAAAAAAGTATCCTAAATCCCAATAATCCAGCTCATCTCTAAGAGAGTGTAGAGCTTCAATACCTTCACGGCTAACTTCAATCAAGGATTATAAAGGGTCAAGGGTTATATAACCCCAGAAATACACCTCTTCTAGTGTTAGTTCATAAAAGTTAAGTTATAATCCTTAAATTAAAACAATTACATCCCCAAATAAAGAAAAAATGAATAAAAAATAAACCTTTATACTTACAAATTCTTTGTCCACCCCTCCAGCCGATGAGCCAGCCCCTGGAGGTGCTGCTCCATTGGTGGTAGTGCCATTGTTCGCCGTGCTGCTGCTACTGGTGCTGGTACCACCGCTGGCTGCCTCAAAGAGGGCCGTTGGATCACCGCCGGTGGCGCGATACTTCTCCACATCGGACAACAGACGCTCCAGATACTCCACATAGAGGGTCTCCTGCTCCAGCTCTTTGCTCAGTTCATGGATCTTGACCTTGTGCCGCTCGAGACTGGCGCGTACATCCAGCTCCCAGGCATCGGAGAGGGAGCTCTGCGGAAAACGTTCCATCCACAGACGCTGGAAGTCATTGAAGACGCTCATATTTGGAACCGCTGCCGCTCCACTTTTGCACCAGCTCCTCCACCCCCCGGGGTTGTTGTTGTTGTTATTGTTTTTTAAGAGTTTTTTTGTGGCTAGTTTTTTTTTTATTTTATTGGGTCTGTTTTTTTTTTTATTTATTTAAAAAAAGATGCTGTTTTTGGAGGCACTGCTGCTTCTGTCGATTAAACTTGACGATGATGATGTCGATGATGATGATGATGATGACTTTCTGAGATGATGACGAAGAGAGGGCGAGGTTGGGCCTTTTTTTTATGTAATAACAAGCACCAGTTGTGCGTTGTCGCCTTCAGTGCCTGAAAGATATATTTCTATAGGTGAGTGTGTATGTGTGTGTGTGTGTGAGTATCTCAGATATTGTATCTGTATCTGAGAATATGCCTGCCCTGGGTGCCTGGGTGCGTGCGTCACAGCCAGAGCCCAGCACTTGAATTGAATCAGAGGAGAGACTCCAACATGCAATATCCTTGCGTGGGGGCAGTGCAACAACAACAACAGCAGCAAAAACAACAAAAGCCGGAAGAAGAAAAAGATTTCTTAGGATTTCTCAAGATTTCTATAAAAATTTAAAATAAAATTTAAAATTTAAAATAATAATAAATAAAAATTATCTTTGATTTTTCAAAAATTAAAATTTAATTTTCAGATTTTTTATTTCTTTCTCTTATTTTTTTTTACAGTGTAGTTGCAACCAATGCACTTTTTGTTGCTGTTGTTGTTGTTGCCCTTTCGAATTGCAGCTGTGTGTGTGTTTGTTTGTGTTTTTTTGATGCTGCTGCTTCTTCCTCTACTTCTTCTTCTCTCCATCTTCTCCAGCATCTTCTTATTCCCCCCCAAACTTTGTTGTTTTGTTTTTTTTTTTTTTTTTTTTCCTTTAAGCCAAGGCCAATAGTGTTGGCTCCTTTGTTGTTGTTATTACTGGCGCAGACGCAATGAATTTCCGAATTTTCATCAAAAGTTTTCTCAAAAACAACAACAACAACAACAGTTACGGCAAGATGAAGATGTGCAGAGACACCCGCACTCACACACACACACACACTCATACACACACACATGCAAATAATAATAATAATTGTTGTTTTTGTTGCTCTTAGTAGTTTTCTTTCATCTTCATCTCCTTCTCCCACTCTTCTTTCACTTTAATCAGTGGGCGTTGCAGCTTCAACCCAAAAAAAAAAGAAAAAAAAAATTTTAAAAGAAAAACACAAGCTATTGCCGCCAGCGTCGCTGCCTTTTGTTGTTGTTGTTGTTGTTGCTTTTTTGTCCCTGCCCCAAAACACACACACACACACACACACACAGGCACATGTACAGGTTCACGGAAATATTCAGGGGGGCACAGGTAAATATCCTCGTATTAGATATTTTCACACGAATTCACTGTTTGCCGTTCCAATTAGATTTTACTTGGAAAACATTCATTATATTCACACTTTTTGGCACTCATACAGACACCACTCATTTGCATATGTGCAGCAGTAGCGTTGGCGCTGCAATTGTATGCGTAAAACTCGGCTTGGTTTTGTGCCTTTTACCGTTTCATCACTCACGTTTCATTTTCCGCCACGATTTTCATTCAATGCCGGGCACTAATCGTCTGCCTAACGTTTAGCGGCACAAAACTGCCGAACTTTTGGTCGCGCCGCAACACTTTCACATCGAATATCCAAAAATATCCACATATATCAGCCGATTTGTACAAGTTGGCAGCCGCAATCGATGTTTTCCATAATTCAGTGTGACCACATCTTAGATTCGAATTTCGATTTATTTTTGACCAAATATCGACAAGAGTATCGATATATTTGGCGGTGTTGCCAGAAAAAAATACCAAAAAAACTACCAAAATAGATTTAAATTCCAGTTTAACCGCCAAATTCAAATAATTTTGTAATAATTCAAGTTAACATTAACATTATATAAATCTATAATCTTTAATCTATATACCAGCTATATTAAGAACTATTATTAACTGTCCTTACCAGACTGTCGTTTTATCTAGTTTCTTAAAAGATAACTTTCAAAATGCATTATTTGTTAGTTCTCCAACCTCCAATAAGACACTTTCAAATGAACAAAGTCCAGCAGACGTTTTTCCCTATCTGGCACCTGGTAATAGTCATTGATATTAATTAATATTTGTGTCCGCTCTACTATTTTTAGCCGAGAAAAACAGAAAATGGAATTCCACCTAAGATGTCAGATCGGCTTCAAAATCGTTAGCTTATCGCCACCTGCCAGATAATACCCACTCGCATATATAATTAAGGCTAACCGAATTCGATTCTTTTGGTCTCTGCCGGCACTTAGTCATCTCAGGAAACTATATACACTCATACATATACATATATATATATTTGTTTCGAAACATGACGTAGCGAATCATCCAGGGCAATGGATTTGGATTTGAATAAAACGACGGCCAAGGTTCTTGTCTTATCGGGGTTCTTTTCGGGGGGAAAGATAAGTGATTGGATATAAAAGGCGATTGATGGGGTCCGATGGCTATTTGAACTTGCCATTGGCTCCAGTGCCGCCCCTTTTTTTTTTAAACAAAACTCATCCTAGTTTATTTATTAATTTAAATTTAGTTTTAAGGATACTCATCACACAAAATGTTGTAAGTATTTTAAGAGGATTATACTATCGGGGTCAACTCAAGGATATTGCCATTGAAATTTTCGAAAAACACCCATTTAAAAAATTATTATTTAACAAAAAACAAGTGACAGCTTTCGAGAATTACTTAAAAAAAAATAATCAAAGAAAAAAAAATAAATTCCGCATATCAAACGACTGACCATGTTCTATGGGGAATTATTCGATGCCTTCGGTGATATATTAATCGGGTACGGGAGCAATACTTGGAGATGGCAAGTATCCCGCCCATTGAGTGCCCCCCTCTAACCTCTAATCTTCCACTCTCGATCTCCTCCAGATGCTGCAAGAAGTATGCCGTTTGCTGGATCATTCTGGTGGTGGCAACTGTGGGAGTGACCCTGGGATTGGTCTTCGGACTCCGTGACAAGAATGAGGAGCCGCGTCGCATGGGTGCCGTGGCCTCCAATGGAGTTGGCTGTGCTGAGATTGGTGGCACCATGCTGGACATTGGCGGATCGGCAGCGGACGCAGCCATTGCCACGATGCTCTGCGAGGGTGTGATGCTGCCACACAGCCTGGGCGTGGGAGGTGGCTTTGTGGCCACCATTTACTCCAAGGAGACGGGCTTCGTCGAGACCCTCATTGCCAGGGAGACAGCTCCTGCGGCAGCCACGCGGGACATGTTCGTGGATCGGGACATCACCGGAGCTCTGTCGTGTGCCGTTCCCAGCGAGATCTATGGATATTGGAAGCTGCACGAAAAGTACGGTCGCCTTCCCTGGAAACGGCTCTTCCAGCCGACCATAGAACTCTGCCGGAACGGCATTATGGTGTCCAAGTACCTGGCCGGTGTCCTTGAACGTGAGGAAGAGCGTATCCGCGACGAGCCCTCCATGGCGGAGATCTTCATCAACCCCAAGACGGATAATGTCTACAAGATTGGTGAGGTCATGTACCGTCCTATGCTGGCGGAGACACTGGAAATGGTGGCCAACGAAGGAGCCGAGGTCATCTACAGAGGCGGCCGGGTGGGTCGAAAGCTGGTAGAGGATATTCAGGCCATGGGAGGCATTGTGACTGAAGAGGATCTCCAGAACTATGAGTGAGTACTTAGTTTCTTTCGTTTTTTTAAAGAAACCACTAAATTGGCAATCCTATAGTGTCCGCTGGGAACTACCGCTCCATTCCCGCTTCAATGGAGACTATGAACTCTTCACCTCGCCCCTGCCCACCAGTGGTGCAGTCCTGACCTTCATGCTGAACGTAATGGAGCCTCTGTTCACCACCAACACGGACAAGTACTGGCAGCGACTGATAGAGACCTTCAAGCACGCCTACGGACATCGCACCAATCTGGGGGACATCCACTACGAGCCGGACGTCCAGGAGGTGTACGAGAACCTACTGGATCCAAAATTTGCGGGTGATATCAGGAAACTGATCCTGGATGACCGCACCTTCGAGAACATGTCGTACTACGGCGCCAACTTCCACAACGTGGAGGATCATGGAACCGCCCACATCTCCGTTTTGGCGCCGAATGGTGATGCCATTTCGGTGACCAGCACCATTAACAGCCATCTGGGGGCCAAGGTTCGATCCCGTCAAACGGGCATCATACTGAACGACGAGATGGATGACTTCAGCACGCCGGGAAAGGTCAATGTATACGGTATCCCGGCTAGTCCCGCAAATTTCATCAAGCCGGGAAAGCGACCCATGTCCTCCACGTGCCCCAGCATCATCCTGGACACCCACGGGAATGTGAAGCTAATTGTGGGCGCGGCAGGCGGTTCCAAGATAACCACCTCGGTGGCCCAGACCATTCTCCGCTACTTCGTCCTGAACGAGCCCATAGAGAAGGCGGTGAATACGGGACGCCTCCACCACCAACTGGCTCCGATGGTTGTGGACGTGGAGCGGGATGTTCCGAAGCATACGGTTGCCTATCTGCGGAAAATTGGACACGAGATCCGGTATCTGGACAATGACAAGGCGTACTCCGCCCAGACGGCGATAGCCATGAGGGGAATAGAGCCGCATCCCGTCTGCGACATCCGGAGGCTGGGCAGTGCCGTGGTCGTGGAGCCGGACAAGCTGGACTGAGATTGGCGGGCAATGGGGCGCCATTGTCATTTGTTCAAGAGGGATCTCCTGCATAAGTTAGAAAAATAATTATTTTTTTTTACTACCTTTTGCTATTTTTAAAACAATAACTATTAAATTCTTGTTAACTTTAATGATGATTTGGGAATTCCATGGGGGTCTGCCTCTTCTTCTTTGGCTAAAAAAAAAGTTGTTAAATGAGGTATTTAAAATAGCTAATATACTGGCTTATAGTTAATACAAGGCTGTTTCTTTAAATACAAATCTGACCTTTAAATTTTTAAACAAAACTTTCGTTTGGCGCGAAACTGGCTATAGGAGAAAACCGCATTTTTAAGCGATCACGGAAAATGGACAAAAAATCGAAAAAATATTTTGTGTCAGGATTTTGATGCAGAATGATGGGAAATCGATCCACAAATCGTTTAAGGTACTCCGCTTGAGAATCGGATAAGAATTGAGGAAGATATAGCCATCACCGTGGACCCCATAGGGGAAAACCCCATTTTGAAGGGATCCCATCACGAAAAATTGACAAAAAATCTAAAAAATCTTTTGTCTTGGGGTTTTGATGCAGAATGGTGGGAAATTGATCCACAAATCGTTTAAGGTACTCCGCTTGAGAATCGGATAAGAATTGGGGATATATAGCCATCCCTGTGGACCCTATAGGGGAAAACCCCATTTTCAAGAGATCCTTTCACGAAAAATGGACAAAAAATCTAAAAAATATTTTGTCGCAGGATTTTGATGCAGAATGGTGGGAAATCGATCCACAAATCGTGTAAGGTACTCCGCTTGAGAATCGGATGAGAATTGGGGAAGTTATAGCCATCACCGTGGACCCTATAGGGGAAAACCCCATTTTCAAGGGACCCCATCACGAAAAATGGACAAAAAATCTAAAAAATATTTCGTCCCAGGATTTTGATGCAGAATGGTGGGAAATCGATCCACAAATCGTTTAAGGTACTCCGCTTGAGAATCGGATGAGAATTGGGGAAGTTATAGCCATCACCGTGGACCCTATAGGGGAAAACCCCATTTTCATGGGATCCCATCACGAAAAATGGACAAAAAATCTGAAAAATATTTTGTCTCAGGATTTTGATGGAGAATGGGGGGAAATCGAACCACAAATCGTTTAAAGTACTCCGCTTGAGAATCGGATGAGAATTGGGTGAGATATAGCCATCACAGTGGACCCTATGGGGGAAAACCCCATTATCAAGGGATCCCATCACGAAAAATGAACAAAAAATCTAAAAAATATTTTGTCCCAGGATTTTGATGCAGAATGGTGGGAAATCGATCCACAGATCGTTTAAGGTACTCCGCTTGGGAATCGGATGAGAATTGGGGAAGTTATAGCCATCACCGTGGACCCTATAGGGGAAAACCCCATTTTCAAGGGATCCCATCACGAAAAATGGACAAAAAATCGAAAAAATATTTTGTCCCAGGATTTTGATGCAGAATGGTGAAAAATCGATCCACAAATCGTTTAAGGTACTCCGCTTGGGAATCGGTTGAGAATTGGCGAAGATATAGCCATAACCGTGGGCCCATAGGGGAAAACCCCATTTTCAAGGGATCCCATCACGAAAAATGGACAAAAAATCGAAAAAATATTTTGTCCCAGGATTTTGATGCAGAATGGTGAAAAATCGATCCACAAATCGTTTAAGGTACTCCGATTGGGAATCGGTTGAGAATTGGCGAAGATATAGCCATAACCGTGGGCCCATAGGGGAAAACCCCATTTTCAAGGGATCCCATCACGAAAAATGGACAAAAAATCGAAAAAATATTTTGTCCCAGGATTTTGATGCAGAATGGTGGGAAATCGATCCACAGATCGTTTAAGGTACTCCGCTTGGGAATCGGATGAGAATTGGGGAAGTTATAGCCATCACCGTGGACCCTATAGGGGAAAACCCCATTTTCAAGGGATCCCATCACGAAAAATGGACAAAAAATCGAAAAAATATTTTGTCCCAGGATTTTGATGCAGAATGGTGAAAAATCGATCCACAAATCGTTTAAGGTACTCCGCTTGGGAATCGGTTGAGAATTGGCGAAGATATAGCCATAACCGTGGGCCCATAGGGGAAAACCCCATTTTCAAGGGATCCCATCACGAAAAATGGACAAAAAATCGAAAAAATATTTTGTGTCAGGATTTTGATGCAGAATGGTGGGAAATCGATCCACAAATCGTTTAAGGTACTCCGCTTGAGAATCGGATGAGAACTGGGGAAGATATAGCCATCCCTGTGGACCCTATAGGGGAAAACCCCATTTTCAAGGGATCCGATCACGAAAAAATGGGCATGGAGAGGTTATTGGGCAGGTGTGGCTGTTCAAGGTATTTTTCGTTATTTTAAATAGTTATTGGACTGGCTAATAGTCAATACAATACTTTTTTTCTCTTAAACCAAACAGTTAACATTCAAAATTTTTAAACAACTTTCGTTTGGCGCGCTTAGCGTTGCCAGACTGTGGCAAGCTTTTCAAAAACACAAATTTAAAAAACTGATTAACGAAATTTCCGAAACTTTTCCATGAGAAAGTTTGAATGACACATAAGTAGCCACAAATATTATTTAATATTATTCGCACGCTTCACTATTTTTAGCACAGATGCTATAAAGTAAGGAACAACAATACTTGCCAACAATCTGCCCCTGAATCCAATTATTTTTCACTCTTTGGGTTATGCTCTCCTTTCGCATGGCCTTGAGCTTGGCCGGAGAATTGGTGAGTGTCTTTCTCTGGGCCAGTGCCCGTCTGCACTTTCGCTTTTCACCACATCCATCTCTCCGGCTGCTGCAAAGCTCTGTCGTGATCTTCCGGGTTTTGGTATTAGGTCTTTGGGTAGTCGCTCTCGGGAAGGACTTGAAGAACCACCCAATGTGTTCCAACCTGTTAGAGCATCTTAACTTTTAGTTAAGAATCTGGAAAGGGTTGGATGTTCCTGATCTCAGCCGGTGGCATTAAAAACCTCAAAAATAACAAGGCGCGCGTTCAAAAAAAGTTTGAATTATAGTTTTGAGTTAAACTCAAACTCGAATTAAAACATGTCGTAAGTAAGAGAAAAAAGAAATAAATCCTCAAGAAATCGGGACTATCTTGGGATTAAACTGTTTCACAATAAATTCTTGAAAAATCACATAACGATCCAATATTTTATAATATATGTACATGATGTGAAGATTTATGTGAAAATAAATTTAAAATTCGGATGCTATTTTTAGCTTTTACTTGCTCGTCAGAGTTAGTTTCCAATTAAAAGAAAAGTGTCATCTAATCTCTGCTCCCGCGATCCTCTCCAGGTGCTGTAGTAAATTTTCCGTGGGCTGGATCATGTTGGCCGTTCCCGTGGTGGGCATTTCGCTCGGTCTGGTCTTCAGGCTCCGGGACAAGGCGCAGGAACAGCGTCGCATGGGCGCCGTGGCCTCTAATGGAGCAGGTTGTGCCGAGATAGCGGGCGCCATCCTGGAGCTTGGAGGATCAGCTGTGGACGCCACCATTGCCACAATGCTCTGCGAGGGTGTCGTGCTGCCCCACGGCCTGGGCATCGGAGGAGGCTTTGTGGCCACCATTTACTCCAAAGAGACAGGATTAGTTGAGAGCTTGGTTGCCAGGGAAACAGCTCCGGCGGCAGCCACCCAGGACATGTTCCTGGATCGGGACATCACCGGGGCTATGGCGTGCGCAGTGCCCAGTGAGGTCTACGGGTATTGGGAGATGCACGAAAAGTACGGTCGCCTTCCCTGGAAGCGCCTCTTCCTGCCGGCCATCGATCTCTGTCGGAACGGCGTCAAGGTCTGCCAGAATTTGGCAGCTGCCCTCGTCTTCGAGGAGAAACGCATCCGCAACGAGCCCTCCATGGCGGAGATATTCATCAATCCCAAAACGAACGATATCTACCGGGAGGGCGAGATCATATACCGTCCCAAGCTGGCGGAGACTCTGGAAATAGTGGCCAACGAGGGCCCGGAATCCATCTACCGAGGCGGCCGGATAGGCCGGGAGCTGGTGGAGGATATTCAGGCCATGGGAGGCATTGTGACTGAAGAGGATCTCCAAAACTACGAGTGAGTACATCCCCTTTTGTTTTAAAAGAAAGAGCTCTAACTATTGAAATCCTTCAGAGCTCGATGGGAAAAGCCACTCCACTCGCGCTTCAATGGAGGCTACGAACTGTTCACATCGCCCCTGCCCACCAGTGGGGCAGTCCTGACCTTCATGCTCAACGTGATGGAGCCTCTGTTCACCACCAACACGGACAGGTACTGGCAGCGACTGATCGAGACCTTCAAGCATGCCTACGGGTATCGCACCAATCTGGGGGACATCCACTACGAGCCGGACGTCCAGGAAGTGTACGAGAACCTACTGGATCCCAAATTTGCGGCTGGTGTCAGGAAACTGATCCAAGAAGATAGCACCTCTGAGAATATGTCGCACTACGGCGCCAAGTACGCCGGCGTGGAGGACCACGGCACTGCCCACATCTCCGTTTTGGCTCCGAACGGAGACGCCGTATCGGTGACCAGCACCATTAATTACCTTTTCGGAGGAATTGTCCGATCCCGGAAGACAGGAATAATATTGAACAACCAGATGGACGACTTCAGTTCCCCGGGACGGAGTAACTACTTCGGGATGCCACCCAGTCCTACCAACTTCATCAAGCCGGGCAAGCGGCCCATGTCCTCGACGTGCCCCAGCATCATCCTGGATGCCCAGGGCGATGTTAAGCTGATTATAGGCGGGTCGGGAGGCTCCAAGATACCCAGCTCGATGGCCCAGACCTTGCTGCGCTATTTCGTGCTCAAGGAACCCATCGAACAGGCGATTAGCAGCGGAAGATTCCATCACCAACTGGCTCCAATGGCTCTGTATGTGGAGGAGCGGGTGCCGAAGCCCACAGTGGCCTATCTTGAAAGTATCGGACACAAGATCAACTACATCTATGAGAAGATTATCTTTTGCTCCCAGACGGCGATAGCCGTGGAGGAGGGAGAGCCTCATCCCTACTGCGATTGGCGGAGATTCGGTAGCACCGTGGTGGTTAAGGTGCCTTGAGGGGGTCACCTCAGTTGTTATCTATTATAATACTTAGTCTTTAATTAGTCTTAATTTTTTTACAAAAAAAATAGAACCAAACCGGAACCAAATAAAAGCACATAAGGGGGAACAGGTAAACACCCTCCCCAAGGCCGTCGAAAGTTCAAAGCCCCAGGCCTGGACTGGTGGAGGGGTCTTTCACCCATCCACCAAGTACATTGTAAATCGGGTGAAAAGCATTTGCAATTCCTATCGGAGTGGAGTGAGTGGTCGTGACAACGCCAATGGAATTCTTTCTGATTTCGGGTTTATAGATATAGAAAACTAGATGGTATGTTTACAGATGCGCTGTAAAGGCACACTCACGCACCGCTTGCCTGACACTATATTTTCTCACATATATATATCATATATATGTTTTGTATAAATAACCCACGACGGGGTGGGGATGGTGTTGGGTGTGGGGCAGACTTATGAACTAGGATAATAAGGTCACAGAAAAACTATATAAAATATCCACAAATTTTAAAGTCAACAGGCACAGCTCCTGTATTCAGCATTGATCGACCTTGGCATCGCCCCGTCATCCGACTGATAAGATAACGGGAAGAGCTCGGATCGTAATTTAGGTAATGGGATTTCGGATTTTTTTGAGATTTACATGCGATCATGACGGTACGAACGAAAGACTAATCTTCGTCGTCGTCATCAATGCGCTTCGTCCGCTTCTTGGCCATTTTTCGTTTCTTGTGCATCGCCTCCATGCGCATATCCTCCAGATCCTCTTGCATTCCTATTAGATTTCGTTAAAGAGAGGTGTTAGCCAGGATTGTAGACCATCTGTAGAGCCAAGTACTTACCCAATTTCTTACTAATAAACTCCTCACGCTGCATCTGAGCATAGCTGGACTCCATACCGCGATCGTCGTCGTCTATGTCGCGGTAGCGGCGCTTATCGTAGCCGAATATGTCGCGAATATGCGAGGATATGTCCTCTTCACAGTCTCCATCATCAATAAAGTCGTCCAGCTCGGAGTCGTACTCGGAATCATCGTCGTCGAGGTAGCGTTCTGGAAAATGAAAGGATTTAGATTTGATTCGAATTCCTCCGAAGACTAACTTACTCTTGTTGCTGGGCTGGTCGTTCCTGGGGCCCAGAGATCGCTTCATATTCTTGACATCCGCTGGCGGGAATGGCCTGCCACCCGATTTCCGGACATCCGCCGGCGGAATCTGGCGAGTCTTGGCCGGAGGCGCAGTGCCTCCTGACGGACGATCGCGTGGTGGAAACTCACGCACAGCCCCATTCTTGTTGACCGTGGCATAGGGATTACGAGATACAGACGCTTCCTTGGAGCTTGATGAACTGGTGGCAGGTTTCCCCGCTACTGTGGATCCGGCTACCGGCTTGGAGGTAATCGAAGATGACTTTATCGGAGTGGTGTTGCTAGTCTTACTGGCTGGTTTTGTACTTGTGGCGGGAATACGATTAGTGTTTGAATTGGCAACGGAAGAGCTGGAGGTGGATTGCCCCGAAACTGGCGCCGGGGGACGTTTAAAATTATCACTCGATGAGGACTTCCCTGTGGTATCACTCGTTTGGGCTGATGGCTTGGCTTGGTTCAGCTTAGGTATGCGTCCGTTGGGCTCCATGCGACTGGGAAGAGGTTTGGCGGCGGCCTCCGTTGCCTTCGCATCCAACTCCTTCAACTTATCACGCATTGCTCGCTGCACCTTTTGGCGCTGACGCTCCTCCATCTCACGCTTCTCCCTGGCGGAGAGCAGGCGCTCCGGTTCTTTCTTTTTCTCCGGCTGGGCAATCATCACCGGCTCGTGCTGCTTCTTTTCAGCCAGACGTAGCAGCGCCTGGAAGTCCATTGGCGGTGGCTGCTGTGGACGCTTAATCTTGGCACGGCGCTGTTCCTCCTCTTGCTTCTTTTTGCGCTCTTCCTCCCTTTTTTCAGCTTCCGGATCATACGCGGTTCTTTTGGTGCTGTAGGATCGTGCTACGTGAGGATCTCTGGAAGACCGCGAGGAAGTCGAGGCCGAGGTACTGCTCCCACTGGCGGTACTGCTGCGCTGGCGTGTATGGGACTTGGCTTCTTCACGTTCCTTGGTAATGGCAGCTTTAACTCTCTCCTTTGTCCCGGACAGGTCACGCAATGACTGCGGGCGACTGGGCGCAAAGCCCTTGTCCTCCTGGACGTCGCGAACCTTCTGTATGTACTTCTCATAGAAGGCGTTAGCCTCGTTGGAGACATAGCCGTAATCATCGCCCTGCCCCTCGCCGGCTTCATGACCATTGGATGCATCGCCCTCATTGGTATTATCCAGCACCGATTTGTTCGCTGACTTAGTAACCTTGAGCATTTTGCGTATTTTATTCTTGGACTTTTCATCCCGCATGGCCATCAGCTCGTTTAGCTTCTGGCGCTGCTCACGCTTGCGCTCCGCCTCCTCGAATTCGCGCTTCTTCAGGAACTTTGCGATATTTGTGGACAGCTGTTTGCTTTCCTTGGTCTCCTTCTTGGGGGGTGCATACTTGGTTTTGTAGAACTTGCCCTGAAGAGGAGGGATATTAAACCTTAATGAGTTGTTTGTTTTTATAATTTAAATGGTATTCTACATCTAATTGAAAGTGGGTGACTCGGTATATATCTGGAAACCCATTCTAGAAGCAAAATCATCCTTAATTAACTTTAATCTTCGACTGAAGTTTTGTTTTTGATTCGCCGATGGGAGATAACTGAGGGTGACAAGGGGACTGGCTACCATATGCTCTCGCGGAGAGTGAATCAACAACGCCAGCAGGTAGATCACCCAGTCGCCCCACAAATCTCGACGAATCTGACCCACAAATGAGAAATCTACAATATCCGTACCTCGTCTTTGGTGGTTGCTGCATCGTTATTGCTCTTAGCGTAGTTTAGCAACGTGCCGAAGTCCATCGTCCTGCCCGTTGATGTTTGTCCGAAATCCACTATTAATAAATATCTTTTTACTACTATTTTTTCAAAAAAAACAAAATCGTGTGCGATATTCGTCACACAAAAACTAAACGTAACTCTTGATTGGAGCTAAAAACTATAAAGACTGTGACAAATGTGTGACCGAGTCCTGAGCTCGAAAATTTCCCAGGGCGACCTGATGTGGAAATCATAATATACCAGAAGGTATGGTATTGTCACCTAGGAAATCTGTAAATATATATAACTTTTATTCTATTATCTTTTAACTAAAGGAGTCTCTAAAAGTAACAGAATAATTTTAAAAGTTAAAATAATTAATATACCAACACACGGTATATGATGGGAATTCTCTGTGATGGCCTGGTCACACTGCCCATTCCTGTTCCTCTATTGTCGCACGGAAATTTGTTGATATCCGCGAAAACTGTATTAAACACTTGCCAATAGGCCATCTGGTTAGCCATGCCCGCAGATCCAGAGCCCACAGACAGCCAGTGCAGCAAGTGCGGTAAATCCAGTGCCCCGGATCAGCCGAATCCGACAAAGGAATCGGCCGAAGATGGAGACCAAACGACTACTGAGGAAGCGGCCGTTGCCGCAGCTTCCGTTTGTCAGTGCAAGGAGGAGGACGCTTCCACGGAAGTGGTATTAATGGACATTGACAACGATCTGACCACCAACGAGCAGATGCCCTCCCTAGCCGAATTGGAGCAGGTCAAGCCAAAGCCAAAGTCCAAAAAGGAACTGAAGGAGGAACCCGAGGAAAAGGAGGAGCCCGAGGTAAAAGAGGAGAAGGAAGAGGAGACAGAGGACAAGAAACCAGAAGTTGAGGAAGAGCAGCTTAAGCCGCCGGCTACTACGCCGCCCGTTAATGTCGAAGAAGAGGAGAAACCCAGTACCGAGAGCAGCAGTAAGGTCAAGCAGGAGGATCTGACACCGAGCTCTCCCGAAGCACCGCCCATTCCCGTTCAGCGTACGGGAAAAATAACCAGGAGCAGCTTAAATGGCACCGCCAATCAAAGCACCCGCACTCCCACGATTATGAAACGCTTGCGAAAGAGTACTCGCTTCAAAGCCAAACAAACTGGAACCAGAGGTAATGCCTCCGGAAATGCTGGTCAGGCCAACGGGCACAACAATGGGCCGAATGGGTCTTCCGGATCTTCTGCCCACCATCTCTCTGGAGCGGGGAATCATCCTAGTAACTCGAATAAGCATGGAAAGTCGGGCACAGGTGGACCGGGAGCGGGGTCTGGAGCCCGAAATCGTCGCACTCTCTTCAAGAGACCTGCACAAAAGACGCCCAAGGTCCAGGCCTGTACCAAGTTCGTTAAGAGCGTCTTCTACAAGGGCAGCTATATGCAGATCGGTGACATTGTCAGCATCGTGGACGGGGAGCAGAATCTGTACTACGCCCAGATTCGGGGTCTTCTGGTAGATGCGTACTGCGAAAAGTCGGCCTTTCTCACTTGGCTAATTCCCACCCAGGACAGTCCAGATCCCCAGGAGGGATTCGATCCCGCCACCTATCTAATTGGTATGTCCTCTTCCCAACCATGATGCCCATAATTGCTTTAATCTTTAACTGTCTTCCAGGACCTGATGAGGAGCTCTCACGAAAACTGTGCTATCTGGAGTTTGTGATGCATGCTCCCAGTAACTACTACTATGACCGGAGTACTCCGTTCCCGCTACCGGACGTCGATGAATACACCGCCCAGCGATCGGGGGGATATATCTGGACGCGTCTGCCGGTTGTGAAGAGGGAAAAGGAGAAGGAGCGGTCAGGACACAAGACTGGAGGAGGTGCATCCTAGCAGGAGATTGCCGGGAAGAAGAAAAAGTCCAGAGTCGAGTGCTGAATTTAAATAATATAATTTATTGAGTAAAAAAATGCATAAGATTGAGGAAGAAATACGTTTTTATTTATTTAAAAAATAGATTTTTGAAGATTTAACTAAATATGACATTTAAATGGGAAAAATATATGTACAACTTTAAAATTATAAACCTCTAACTTTTTTTTAAGAAAAAATAAAATTAACTTTTTAAAATTAAGAAAAAATGTTTTTTTAAGTTAAAATACCGAAAAGCTTTTAAAGAGACCAGCTGTAATCGAAGCATTATTTAGCCGAGAACGAACGGTCACATTGGTACACACACACTGGCACTTTCCCGAAAATTGGTTGACATTTTTCGCAAATAAGCTAAAAATTTAGCTGAAAGTATAGTTAACGTTGGCCGGATCGAAGAACAACGAAGCAGACACTATGGAGGTCGATGAGGAAGAGTTCGAGGTCCCATCCAGCAGCAGCAAGGGCGAGAAGAAGCGCTTCGAAGTGAAGAAGGTGAGTAGACTCGGCGAGGAGTCAGCATTTCTGGCGGTCATGGCCAGGCCTTTGTTAATATTGCAACTTTCTCGTTTCATTTTCCTTGAAAACACAGTGGAATGCCGTGGCTCTATGGGCTTGGGGTAAGTAGTTACCATTTATCCAAAAACTGGACATGAATCATGACCGTTTGGTTATCTCCTTGCAGACATCGTGGTGGACAATTGCGCCATTTGCCGCAACCATATCATGGACTTGTGCATTGAATGCCAGGCGAACCAGGCATCGGCCACCAGCGAGGAGTGCACGGTGGCCTGGGGCGTCTGCAACCATGCCTTCCACTTCCACTGCATCTCCCGTTGGCTGAAGACGCGTCAGGTCTGTCCGCTGGACAATCGTGAATGGGACTTCCAGAAGTACGGTCACTAATCCCGCTCAGACACCAGGAGCCTTCTCATCCGGAAATAATAATATAGTATACCCACTTAGTTCATAAGCGAGCATAGGTCAGAGTTCTTTGACCTTTTTTCCTCCTCCCTACCCCCCCTCTCCATTTTCCCCGAAAAAGAAACAGATTTTTGTACGCTTACTTAATAAATGAGAAGAAGATGCTGAAGACAGAGAAAAATCGATCAGTTGTAGACCTTCTTTTAAGGCGGAAGAACATGTTTAATAAGGAAGCTTGCAACTTTCTTATAGAAATAATGAGAGGCATTTTTGTTTCCGGAAATTCCTTTGTTCAGTGAGTGTAGCCATGCATAGCTGGAATTTTTGCTTTAAAAAATAAAATACATATAAAATAATAGATGTATTTTGTGCATAGGACTTGAATGAGAAATAATTCCAGAAGAATGGTCAGAGAGAGAGAGAGTAGAAGAGTTCCAAGATTTGCCAGAATATTGTTTATCTTTTTTTGGAGAACAAAGGCAAATTAATAAATAAAAAATGCCATGCATTTGTAAAAACTAAATTTCATTTTTTTTAGTTTATTATGAATGTTAGCGGCGGCGACGGTGGCTGCTGCTGTAATTGTTTTTGTTGTGGCTTACAAAATAATACACAGTAGTTACATATATAATATATCGAATATATGATTAATTAATTAATTAATGTACGCTAATAACTAAACTTATGCGTTAAAAAAAATAATCATAATCGCATCGCACGACAAAAAAAAAAATCAAATCTTTATATTATCGTTTATAATAGGATAAAATAATGAATGAAAACATAATCGAATCGGTGTAAGCCAAAATACATTCTGTGGGTGCCGTGTGTGTGGTTTTTGTTTTTGTTTCTTATTTTTGAAATCTTGGCGGATTCTTCCGGAAACGCAAAAGATAACAACAGCATGGTTAGCATGATGGAGAGCTTTACAAAGGTGGAGGGGGATGATCGAAAACAAAATGAAATTATTTTTGGGGCCACTTTTCATCTGGAAACGGTTTTCGGTTCGTTTTGAATTATTTATTTTTATTTTTTCTCAAGTTGAGTTAAATCTTCACTTTCGTTTTTCTTTAAATAATTTATAATTTTTCCATTTTGTTTTGTTTTTTTTGTTTTGTTTTTGTTATATACATTTATGTGAAATTTGTTTGGTTTTCTAAGATTTTCTTTATAATTTTCCCCTTGTATTTTGTTTTTTTTTTTTATTAATTAAGTGGCTTATATGTTGCTTTTATTCTTCTTGGTGTTGTTGTTGTTGTTGCTGCTGCTCTATTGTTTTGTTGGCTCTTGTGGGATTTTTTTCTCTAAAGTATCCTTTATATATGTATATATATATATATATTTTATTTGTTTTCCTTGTATATATATAAGGTTTTTTTTTATGAAGTTAACGTTAGTTGTAAGGCGTCTAAAACCGCTGCTAATTGCGTTGTGTCTGTGTGCAAGATGTTATTATCCTTTTTTTATATATATATATATATATTTGTTGCTTCCTTTTTTTGTTGTTTTTGTTGCATTTCTGGCATTATTTGAAATAATTTGTTAGTTAAATGGCTTTCGGATTATCCTTCCTGGCTCTTTCAACTGTACATGATTTGAATGCGATTTAATTCTATTCTTAGCTTTTTAACTAACAAATTGTTGTTGTTGTTGTTGCCGCTGCTGTTGTTGCTGCTGCTGCTACACAGGATGTTGTTGTTGCTCCTGCGATTGTTGTTGTTGTTGGTAATGGTACTTCTGCTGTAGATACTGTTGTTGTTGTTGTTGCATTTGTTCTTCTGCTTTATTTCCCCATCCTTTTTCCTACTTTTATGCTTTAAATTTCCATCTGCAATAAAGAAAAGCACACAGCAGAAGAAAAAAAAACAAGCAAGCACGCACGCACATGCACAGACACGCACAGGCACGCGCACGCACACACACACGCGCACAGAAACACAAAAAGGACGAAAGGGAGAAAGGAGAAAGAGAACAAAGAGAAATGGAAGAAAGCAAAAAAAGAAAGTTATAATTCAGGTATTTCCAAATATTTTGCCTGTTCTAGCTTTTGGTTTTTGCTTTTTTTTTTTAAGTTTTTAGTTTTAAGTTTTAAGTTTTGTTTTTGGCTGAATAATAAAATATTCTCAATATTTCTCAATAAAAAAAAAAATATATCTATATGTATGGATATAACTCGGATGATTTTTGAGGTCAAATACAGGATGATCTACTTGGATTTGGGGAGAGGGGGGTGGATAATGGTGGCTAGATGCTAGATCTATGTTCTAAGGGCTAAGTCTATATGAGGACACTATTAGGATTGCAGATCGGCGGCAGCAGCAGAGGCAACGACGCCAGCAGCGCAACAATTCTCCTTAGTCTCCTTCCCTCATTCACTTTCCTCTCTTCCAGATCTTCGTTCTTGTTTGGCTCCTCCTCCGCTTCCTCCTTTTCTGGTCTTCTCTCGTCTTTCGTATTTTGCAACCCCGTATCCGCCGCTTCCTTCTTGGTTATCCGATTCCTTACTCCTCTCTTGGCAATGGCAGCTGAGCTTAGTCAATTTGCTTGGAGATCAGTCGTTGGTTATTTCTGGCCATGATGGTTATGATGATGATGCGATGCCGACGTGGATGTGGCCACCACTCCTCCGCCGCCGCCTCCTCCTCCTCCTCCACTTCCTCCTCCGCCTGTGGAAGAGGACTTTATCTGCTGTTGTCCCGCCTGCTGGGCAGTCTGCTGGAGACTGGCAAAACTGGTGGGCGCCAGGAGGGCGCATGTCCCAAAGGTGTGCTTGGGCATGCTAAGGAATCCACCGCCAGTGGTGCCTCCTCCGCCTGCGGCCGCTCCTGGGCCCGCTCCCGATCCACTGCTGCTGCTCACGATGGCCTGTCCCTGGCCGGGACTGCCGAACTTCCCCAGCTGGTAGTAGTTCATCCCATAGGAGTCCCCGTCGCCGCCGCGTTGCTTTCCGTTCGGGAAGTAGATGTTGCTGCTGGTGGTGGAGGTGCAGGCCGATTGGAAGGAGCTGCTCGTGGTGGAAGATGGCGATTGGGCGCTTCCGGAGGCAGCAGTCGCCGCTGCACCGCTGGACGACTCCACCGGCTCCACGGACGACGACGAAGACGAGGAGGAAGTGGTGCTGCTGGTGTTCACCGTCAAACTGGTACTGCTGGCGTACGAGGCATTAAAGGACTCGTCGCTGGCGCTCACTCCTCCGGCTCCGCCGCTGCTGTTCAGCTCATCGACGCCGCTGCTGGCTCCTGCTTGTCCCGGTCCCTCGGCTGTCGGTGGAATGTCTATGGTGTGGGATTCGTTGCCGAAAATCAGGCGGAGCCGCTTCTTCTGGGGCGTACCGTATACACTGCTGCTGGGAGCTGGCGATCTCCTTTGGCTGCTCCTGCTCCGGCTGCGTTGCTTCTTCCTCTGCTTCTTGGAGTAGCTGGTGGCGGCCAGTTTCTCCTCCTCCTGTGGCTGATGTTCTTCTTCCGGCTCTTCCGCCTTCGGCTCCTCCTCCTCTGGCAGTTCTTCGTCCTCCTCCTCCTCGTCTTCGTCCTCCTCCTCGTCATCGTCGTCGTTGCCATGCTCGGAGATGCCCTCCATGCGCAGGATCTCATACTCGATGCCATTACCGATACTGGAGCTGCTGCTGTTGGCATTTAACGCCGCCTTATCCGATCCAGATCCATGCAACGAAGCCAGTCCCCCGGCACTGCGGCCCGATCCGTGGCTGCCATTGTGGCGTCCCGCATGACGATCGTTGCTGAGGCTCGTGCCCAGCTCGATAACCTCGTCCAGAATGGGCGAACGCTTCATGCGAAGTGTTAGCTTCAATCGACGCTCCGGAGTCTTCAGCAAGGGCTCCACATTACTGTTGCTGATGATGCTGCTGGAGGAGGCCTCTCCGGTGCTGGTGCTGCTGGTGGTGGTGGTGGTGGTGGTGCTCGCCGTCTGGGATCTCTTGCGCGGATTGCTGGTTAACGATGATAGCGAACCGGGTGTTACTCCCAGAGCATCGCAGTGAATGCTTTGGGCCGCCGCCAAAGCTGCTGCACGGCGACTCCTTTTCTGCTTGACCGGTGGATTAGCTCCATCGTCCGCCTGCTGCTGCTGCTGTGGCTGTTGATCCTTGGCTCCCGATTCGAAGCTGGCCAGTAGATTCTTCTTGTAGGCGGGACTGTGGCTGCGACTGCGACGCGTTGCCTGCTGCTGCTGCTGCTGCTGGTGATCTGAGGATGTGGATGTGGTGGTGGATGAGGATGTGGACGAGGCCTCACTTGGTGCTGGCTTCTTTGATTTAACACTAAGTCTACCGCTAAGATTAGAATTATGATTAATTCTACTGCTATTATTACTATTATGGTTATTACAATTTGTAATCGTTGTTGCTTTGCTGCAGTTGTTGTTGTTGTTGTTTGTTGCTGTTGCTGTTGTTGGTGTTGTTGTTGCTGTTGCAGCTAATGCTACTCCTGCTCCTCCTACTGCTGCTGCAGATGTATGGATTCCTATGTTATTGTTATGGGCAGTGGCTAATCTGGCAACCATTCCTCCTCCTCCAACGCCTCCCGATCTTCCTGCACTGTTTCGCGTCACACGCTTCTCCTGCTGCTGTTGTTGTTGTTGTTGTGGTTGCTTTTCTGGTTTCTCATTCGCCAGGATAAACACCTTGGCCGGCAGCTGCTGATCCGGGATCTCCTTCTCCCTGTCGCTGCTCTCACCGTCCGTCAGCTTCTCCTTCTGGCGCTCGCTGCGTCTCAGTTGGCGCTTCTCCCGCTGCTGCTGCTGTTGTTGCAGTTGTTGTTGCTGCTGTTGTTGCATGGCTGCCGCCGCAATGGCCATCTGGGCCGGCTTGCATCGGGGCATCAGCACCACGGGCGCCTTAGTGGGCAATGGTGTTATTGGACCGGTGGCGATTACCTCGTCCGTGGAGGCGGTGGAGATACTGCTGCTGGTGCTGTTGACGCGCATCGATTTGCGCAGACCATTAACCTCGGAGCCAGCTCCGCCGGCGGCAGCGCTTGTCCCGCCTCCAACTGTGCCGGCGCCAGTGCCAGAAGTGCCACCGCTACCGGGCTTTTGCATGGCCTGCACAGCGGCCGTGGCCTCGGCACCTGTACTGGCGTGCTGGCCATGATTGTGGTGGTGGTGATGGTGGTGATGATGGTGGTGGTGGAAGTGGTGCTGATGCTGGTGGTGGTGCTGCTGCTGATACGCTGCATTGGCCATTATCATCTCGGCATCGTACTTGGTCATACCCTTCTGGCGCAGCTCCTTCATCGTCAATGGCGATACGACCACGTTGGGCAGCTTCTTTTCCAGCAACGAGACAGCAGCAGTGGCTTCCTTACCAGCTACCGGGGCAGCTGCTCCCGTTCCCGCTCCAGCTCCTGCTCCGGCAGCTGCCGGTGTGGCTCCTCCCGCTGCACCAGCTCCAGCGCTAGCTGCTCCTCCTCCACCGCCAGCCGAGACCACGCCGTTTGAACTGCTCTCACTCGCCGTTGTGGAATCGTTGGTGTTACTGTTACTGTTCGAGGTGCTGTTCGTGGAGTTGGCTCGGCTCTTGATGCGATTAATGCGGTTATCCGTCTCGCGTAGCCGGTAGCCAGTACCCCCGGTGGCCAGGCCCAGGCCCAAGCCCAGGCCGGAGCTCAGGCCGAGCATAAGGCCATCCTCTTTGCCGGCAAAGGCGCCAGTGCCCCTTCGTTCGCAGGTTTCGCATTCGCAGTAGCGATTCGAGTCGCCGAAAAAGTCCTCGCCGTAGAAGCATGTTATCTCCTCACCCACCTCGATGTCGCGCAGTACCTTCACACAGGCTGTGTCCCGGCCGGTGGCCAGGAACTTGCAGTTGGCGCGGCAATCGTGATTAATGTACGCAGCAGGACCTAACCAGAGTTGGGCGCAATTCTTCCGGCAGCTATACATCACCGAGAAGTCATTCTTGCCCGAATGCAGCAGCGCCGCCTCTTCCGCCTCCGTCAGCTCGGCAATGCAGCCGACCAGACACTCGATCTTGTCGTTCTTCGACCAGCGTTTCGTCGAACTGATCTTGGCGCCGCGTTGCTCCTCCAGCGAGTACCGATAGCAGGCCTCGATCGCAAAACCACTGTCCTTGTCGAAGACGCGCAGGTACCGCACGATCTGTAAAGAATATCGAGAGGAATACATGTGTTTTAGCGCTAATATTTCGAGAGGATATTAATCTGGAATATGGATCTTAACCTACATGATCGTGCAGACGTTTGGTGGCAATCTTGTTCTTGTTCTTGAGGTGGCGCGGTATCCAAGGACCATCGTAAATCCGCTGTATAGCCACATCGTAGTTCTGCGTGTGTATAAACTCGTCCACAATGGCTTTTAGCTGCTGCGTGTCCACTTTCAGGGGCCGGAAGCGTATATTCATTTTGTGGGTCTGGAAACCCAAATGCGGATCGAGTATCAGCGAAGTGGCCAGGTCATCGTTCTCGGAGAGTTCCCGCGGCGACATGCCCGTGGATTGCGATAATCTGCTGACGGCGCTGCCGTTACAACCATTGAGCCCACTGACCACCGATGCTCCAGTGGATCCACCGCCACTACCGTTCGTCTGATGATGGTTATTGGTGCTATGGCTGCCATGGTGGTTGCTGGTCTGCTGCTGGTAGTGGCCATGATGATGGTGGCCCTGCGCCTGATGGTTCGCGGCATGCTGTTGGTGATGCTGCGACTGTTGCTGCGCGGATGATGCAGGTGCAGGTGGTGGTGGGACATGACCTTTTTGGGACATTGACGACAACAAAGCCGCAGCCGCCGACGCCGACGATGCGGTCTGCGATGCTGTCGTCGACGCTGTCGATGAGGTGGCTAGTGAAGACGTTGCGCTGGTGGTGCTGCTGGCGGTGCTGGTGCCTCCGTTGGTGCTGCTGGAGCTGTTGCTGCTTGTATATCTGCTGCCAGTTTCACCGCGCCGCGTATGATTCGAGCCGACGACCATTCTGCAAGACAGTCTGTGGGACACACGAAACCAATATTAATGGTTAGTACTTGGTGGCGGGCAAATTCAAACAAAGAACTAATTAAATCTGTTTCTTTTTTTCCGCAAATATCAGCTGTTTTCAAATTCAAATCTTTGAACCATCTGGCAGCACTGCCACTGCACGATTCCGAGCGAGATGGCTACATCGCGCATACATATGTTTGGCAGGACAGGACTAGGACAAGTGCAAACTATTTTCAGCTCTCTCACAGATACCCACCCCTGCCACTCTCACTCTCTCCTTCTCTCTCTCTTTCTGGACGGATCTAGATTTCCGGAAATTAAAAACGTTCCTAGGGGAGGGTGGGGGGTGGTGGAGACGAGCGATAACAAACAGCTGATTTCGCACTAAAAGTCAATAGTTTCATTTAACTTTTTTCTAAGGAATTGTGAGCGTAATTTGATTTTTTTTTTTTTTACTCGTACGGCTTCGCTCGCGAGCGAAATGAAAGAGGTGAGCAAACGAGAAGTGTAACTGGGGTCGTCGTTCCCTCTCGTTCTGGCGCTGCTCTCCCTCTCTCCATCGCTCACGCAAAATGAAGAAAAAAAAAAAATCAATTAACTTGGCAAGCACATGTGTAACAAAAAGCCGTATCGATCCACGACTTGCACTGCAAAATCTCATATTTTTCACAGATATTTTTTTTAATATTTATTTCACAGAACCATATACACACACACACACACTTACAGAGCCAATGAAGAGTATTAAACATTGCTCATGTTTGGTTGATGTTGTTGCTATTGTTGCTTTTGTGCATGGCAAACGGATGAAGACAACAAAAAAAATTTTGGATTATCGATTTGCATGCGCAGCGATCCGTAATTTGCAATTTTGCATATCCCTTTTTTTTGGAATTCGCGAGAAGCTGCGCGGCGTGGCGGCGTACAACGATGTAACTGGCGTGACTGGGACTGGGACTGGGCAATGGCAATGGAAAAAACGCGTCGAGTTATCGACGCCGACTTTTTCTACTGCCTTTACCGATGCTGCCGCCGGCGAGAATGGGTTTTGTGTACATTTGTCTGGACGAAAGAATAATAATCTAACGTTAAATTAGACATAAACATCAAGCCACGCATGTGAACACGGCTGGAAATGAAGTTTTGTTGCTGCCCGAAATTGTTCTGAATGGATTTCGATTGCAAATTGCTCTCAGCTGTTTACAACACACACACACACACACACACACACACATAGATAGGCAAGAGAATAGCAGAGTATGCGCAATGGGCAGTGTTGCCAGGGACATAAAAGAGCTAAACTAGCTTTTGAAAAACAGCTAGAATTGTTTATTTTTGTTATCTTTTTTGAAAAATCTGCTGACTATTGTCTTTCTAGCAGGGTCCTAATCTTCATTGTTTTATAATTAAATGTTATGTAATTTTTATAGACAATTTTTTTCATTATCCTAAAGTCTAGTTCCGCACGATTTATATTAGAAAAACTCTAGACCTAGTTGTATAGCTAAATTGGCAACACTGCCAATGAGAGACATAAAAAAGGGTTACCAAGTCTCTGGCAAAATTAGCAAGGTTCCCATGTAAAAATTTGTTTTAAACAAAATTGTATACTTCTTATTATAATATCAGGGTATTCAAGGGACCAGTTGGTTTAAAAATTTTGGGTAATTACAACCAGGTAAACTACCATTATTGGGATGGCAGCCAACCCTAACAATGGTCGTTACAAGGGAACGAAAAATGGCGGCGCCTGTTACACACAAACACACACATAGAACAAAACACGCAGACGCGCACGAAAACACGCTTACACTCAAACTCCTAAATGTTTATACTTTTTTCTGCTTTTGTTGTAAACATTTACCTTAAATGAATTATTCACTTTGTCTGGTCGCTCTCGCTGTGTGTGTGTGTGTGCGTCTTTTTCTGCGTTTTGTTGGAGAGACGGGAGACGGAGACATACACACACATGCAGACACGTACGAGCTTGTTTTCGGCTGGGGCTGGATCCAAATAATATATCACAGTGGGCTGGCGGAGTCGTCGTTGCTGTTTTTGCTCTAGCTGCGGCTGGCGACTCCTTTTCCGTGCCAAATCATTTTAACGCCTTTGTTCCCAAAACACCCAAGCGCCGCCGTCCATAGCGCCCTCTCTCTTTCTCTCTATCAGTCGCGTCTCTTTCCAGGCAGCCCCCCTTTTGCTCCACTCGAGTGCTCCAACAATCTTCGCTAGAAGCTGCACGCACACATACACCTCTTTGGATACATATATTCCTTCGCAACGTATACGTGCGCTTGATGTCTGTATGTATGCCTTCTTTTCTTCGCTTCTTCGCCTCGCTTTAACTTTTCGATTCTTCTGTCTCGCGTCTACCGAAAATCCCGAAGATGCTCAGCTTGTCTGTAAAAGCCTGCATTTGCGGTTGGGAGCGGATGGTTATTCGCGGCTTTAATTTACAAGCGAGTTCTCGTTTTTCGCTTTTCGCGTTATAATTTTCCGCGATATTCCGATTAGTCGAAAATATATATTTATATCGAAGTATTATCGTTATGTTTTTTTTCTTTATAGTATTTTCTGTTGTTTTCGGTTTGGTCTCACTTAACAGGTTTTCAATAGCTGTTTTCGAGTTTTGCAACACTATTATGTCCGATAGTCCCCCTATATTTTAAGTGTTGAAAAATCTTAAAAATATTATAATTAATTCTCTAAATTCGTTTTAAATTAAATCTTTGTTCCTAGAAACATGTTCCTAGAAAAAAAACTAAACCGTGGATCGATATTTTAATTTTGTGTTATCGGAATATAGAGATGGCCCTGAAAAATACCGCGACTACTTTTCAGTCTCTTAGAGGTGGGACGAACAATGGTACTTTTGAGTCACTAAGGCTGTTACCAATAATGGATACCCATCTCTAATAAGAACAACAACAACAACAAGTAGCAGCAGAATATCCGAAACCAAATTCAAAGCAAATAATGAGCAACGGAGGTTGCCTATTTTAGCGCGCTAGCCTGCTGGTCTGTTAGCCCTCCGTTTGTGCCCTGGAAACTGAGACTCGGTTTCGTATTGCCTCCCGTTGTCATTGTCCGCCGATGAATAAGTGCTCCCCGTCCGTGTGCCTGGTGTCAGTGTGTGCGTGAGAAAAACACCCACCTTGAACGTTGAAAACTCAAAAACAAACAAACAAGCGGGCCAGGTTACGACTACAAGCGGGCCAGGCGGGCTACAGTTACAGTAGGGCCTCCAAGAGCTGGGTCGGCACCCGGAGCCCTCGGAGCACCTGCAATCCGAACAAGAAGCCCTCAAACGCTGCCCCGAACCGAAAACCACGACCCATCCGGGGGAAATAATAATAATCGTTGGGTGAGCGCGCTAACTATAAATAGAAAAGCCAGCAAAAAAAAAAAACAACAACTACACCAGCAGAAGCACCAGCAGCGAGCAGCCAACTGTCCAAGTTCCATATAGTACATATATCCATATCGACGCAGAAGAGGAAAACCCACAGTATTAGTCCTCATTCCGAGATTAAGCATTAAGGAAGAAGATATCCGCCTGGCGAGATGGAGATAGTGGGAGACACCATATCCAATGGATCAGCAGCAGCAGGAGAAGATCCTTCAGTCCCGCCCAAATCCACACTGAACATTGTCAAGCAGCGTTTCAAAAAAGACGAGCAGATACTCTACGTAAGCCAAAATACAAAGAGTTCCCATTCAGGAAGTCACAATTATAGCTTTTAATTTAATTTTGTACATAAGAGTGGGGTTATTATCGGATGTTTGCTTTGTGGACTTGCTATCTGGCAAGGACCACGCCAAAATAAACACCAACCGAGTCTCTGACAGACGTTAGTCTCTCAAAGATTTTCACATCCCCTTTGAGTGTTTATAGGGGGGGAAATAGTAGTCTTATCGGGCAGATAACGACAGTCAACCCTCGCTAATCAGAATCCCTTTCTCGATGCAGATATTCGAGTCGTATCAGCTGAAGGGCCCGGAGTATGTCACGCGGCTACTGGTGCTGGTTTCCTCAGAATCGGGCGGCACATATGCCATCGTAGCATTCTCCTGCCAACGCACACCCATTAGCTCCGTGAACGAGCTGGTCATCAGCAAGGTATTCGCCATCGATGACCAGTTCAAGTTTCGCCAAGGTAAGGAGACCCCCGAGGAGCACTCATAGCTGCCCAGCCAACAGATTGTGCAAGCTTGTTGACATACGGATAGCTGCAGCAAGCTCCCTGGGCTTAATGATTTGCAAATATTTGTCCATCTACTTCAATTGATATTCAAACATTATTAACAGATGACAAGAGCTCGATAGCAGCACAGCAGTTTGATCTGTTTTCCGGCGAAGAGGGCCCCATCAAGTATTACTATTATCCATCGGAGACGGCCAACTTTGAGGAGTTCTACGCCAAGGTTGTCAACTGTCAGGCGCTTATGACGGCCAACCACCTGGATACGGTGCTCAACTTTCGGTGGCTCAACGATTACCGGCAGATTGGCGAAGTCAAACAGGAGCTAAAGAAGCGCGAGAGCGAGTATATGATCTATCAGGACACTAGGTGAGTAGTTTCTACCACTCTCTGGTTCAATTATTAATCTCAATCTAATCCCTCCTTTAGAATATACTGCGCCACTTGGAATGTAAACAACAAGCAATGTTTAAATGGCAGCGATTCGCTGAGAAGCTGGCTGTCCCGCAGCGAGCAGCCACCTGACATCTATGCCATCGGTATCCAGGAGCTCTACGTGCCCGCCAAGAACATGTTGAGCTCCACAGAGGCCGCAGCCGACGCCCAATGGATGTGAGTGGCTGAGGGATTATTACAAAATGCAAATTTCTAACTCTTTCCATGTCTGGCCATTAGACAAACGATGATCAATAGCATGTATCCGGGTGTGGAGTACTCCATCCTCAAATCCTACCGCATGATGGCCGTATTTTTGATCGTCATCGTTCGGGAGCCATTGAAGCAACAAATTCTGAATGTTCGCTGCCATCACGTGACTCGTGGGATTTTCAATGCACTTGGGAATAAGGGCGGAGTCGGGATTAGCCTGCAATTGAATGAGGGAAACATTTGCTTCATCAACTCCCACTTGGCGGCCCATTCGGGACAAAAGGCGGTACGAAACCAGGACTATCAGGGCATCGTCGCAGGCATGAACTTTGAATACGGACGAACCATCAATGATCACGAGTAAGTCATAGAATTGAGTTCAAAGTAGTAGTTGAGGTGCTAATTGGCTAGGAAAATAGTGGAGGGAAAGTATCTTTGCCAGATGGGGTTTATTGAACTTGGTAATTGGAAACCCAACGTTTAGGAAGTACATCTGTGGTGTTTATTATGCAACTACCTTGCTAGATGTATTCATCCCTTTCTTTTTGGCAGCCACATCTTCTGGTTGGGTGACCTGAACTATCGCCTGAAAGAACGTGAGCCGCAACCCGGACCCTTGACCGATCCCCAGCTACTGCTGATAGACGACGAGCTGCGCGAGGAGATGAGTAATAACCAATGCTTCGTTGGCTACTCGGAGGGCGACATCAATTTCCAGCCAACGTACAAATTTGAACCCAACACCGACAACTACGACATGAAACGGCTGCCGTCCTATTGCGATCGGATTCTGTGGAAGGGCACCCGTATCGATCTGTTGGAGTACAATAGCATCATGGAGATACGTCAGAGCGATCATAAGCCCGTTTATGGGGTGTTCCATGTGAAGATCAAGACCCGCGATCAGGCCAAGTATAAGCGGGTCCAGGAGGAGGTCCTCAAGGCGGTCGATAAGCGGGAAAACGATAACCAGCCCCAGATCGAGGTGGACAAGACAATCATTGACTTTGGTCGCGTCCGTTTCAATGAGCCCAGCACGAGTTATTTCAACGTCTACAACACCTGCCCGCTGCAGGTGGATTACAGCTTCAAGGAGAAGGACATGGACTCCATCTGTGAACCGTACTTGCAGATTGAACCGCGGGAGGGATCGTTACTCATCGATTCGGCTCGCAGCATCTGGCTAAATATGCACGTTGATGTCCGGAGCATTTCCAGCTTGCTGCGCAAGATCCGGACCAATGATAACTTTGATATCCTCATCCTGCATGTGAAGAATGGTCGTGATATCTTCATCACAGTGACGGGCGATTATCAGCCAAGCTGTTTTGGCCTCTCCATGGAGACGATGTGTCGCACCGATCGGGCACTCAGCGATTACTCACAGAGTCAGATCAAGGAGCTGGTAAATGGTTTTCTAATCGAGTGGGTTCCCATTTTTTTTTAATAAATATCTTTCATTGAAGATGAACAACAACTCGCCCCACTATCGTGTAACGATGCCAAGGGAGTTCTTCCTGCTGATTGATTATCTTTACAAGCAGGGTGCCCAGCAGCAGGGAGCGTTCCCTCCCTACGAATCGCGGAATCAGCTCAAGCCCGATTTTAATGCGGTACGCGACTGGCTGGACACCTGGTCGCAGGATCCATTCCGTAAGTTTGTATCTATCTTGGCTAATACCATTTATAAGCAAGAACCTTCTTATGAAAACAGCTGGAAGCGTGGAGACAGCTGCTCAAGCTTTGTTACTTTTACTGGACCTACCGGATCAGGCCCTGCTGGAGCCTTTTGTGGAGAACCTGCTGAGCAGCGTTAGCAAGCAGGATGCCATGAACTACATCGATTTGCTCAGTCCGCCCAACAGGAATGTCTTTATGCATCTGTGCATGTTCCTGCGCGTGGGCATCGAAAGTGGCTACTATGATATGCATCAAGTCGGTGAGTTGGCTAAGCTTTTAATCCTTTATTTTGTATTATTTTGTAAAATTTTTTGATAATTTTTAGCTGCCACTTTTGGTCGAATCCTGTTGAGAAGCATCGAATGCGCTGCCTTGCCAAATTACCACAGCAAGTGCTGCGAATTTATGAAAATGTTCATTGAAAGCGATGAAGAGATGGTGGGTAATGGCAATGATTCTGGAGCGGGTTCCGGAACTAGGAGCACGGGACTGCAGGCTTAGTCACATCAATCCCACAGCAACAAACAAAAACAAAATGAAAACACCTACTCACACTCGATAGTTGTACACTGTTGATATTTAAATGTACGAAATAGTGTTAGCTTATTTATTTTACTTGTTGGTAAACACTTTGTTGGTCCACCCACGCGCCGGTGCACCCTAGCATTTATTCTGTAAATTTCTCTGTTTTACCTGTTAATTGTTTGTGTCCTTTTCCGTTCATTCCAATCGAAAAGACCATCAACTTGGTTATTATGTTCTTTGTTATCACTCGAAAAACACACATCACGCGAAAGAGCCGGGCACCTGGACATCGAATGTCCATGGGTTTATCTAGTATTTAACAAATGCAAAAAAGAAGGCCAACGCTAAAATAAAATTATTGTGTAAATAATATATCCAAATGAAATGGCGTCGTTCCGGGTATAATACACCCGTTAAAACAATGTTTAGTTGAGCTAACTATTTTAGATTTATAAAATATGTCCCCTGAATCCCCGGTTTCAGTTTTCCACTGAAAATAAATAAAAACACCGTTACTAGCAGTATCAAAAATAAAGTTTTACCTTCATTTCTGATATGGACTTGAAATTTTAAAAAAGGGCGCCCAATCACGATTATCGATTTGTCCAACACTAGAATTCGATAGTTCTAGAAATCGCAAACTTGGAATGTCAAGGTAGTGCCAAACACTGACGGCCACACTTCAAATCGAATTGGACGGGAAATAAGAGAAATACAGGAAAATCGGGGGGCCGGAAAATGAAACGTGAATGAACAGCGAGAAAAGGACGCGACAACCAAATGCAATGTTTCCCATGCATCCCAAAATGGATGAGCAGCTGGCCCAGGCCTTCTCCGCCAACGAGGACGAGGAGGAGAAGCATATTCAGAAGGTGCAGAACGCCTTCCTCTACTATGGGTAAGTAGATGTTGTTGGTTTTTGTTGTTGGAGCCGTTTCCCATGCGCTGAATGAGTCTCCCCCCTTTAGCCGGCTAACGGTGAATGGAGCGTAGAGCATGAGTGAGCGCGAGGGAGCGTAAGAGAGCGGAGAGGGGAAACGACATGTGCAGACAGGCTGTCGTCAAGCTCGGTGTTGATTTCTGCTTGAAGAATCAACAGGTTTGTTCTTGCACTGCTTACCCGTTGCGCTGTTACATTATTTCATCATGGGTATCCAATTTGAGCTCTCCTCTGGCCAGAGCAGCCCTCTGGGCCTGTTGATAAGCCCCACTCACTGATAATGGGGATAAATAATTAGTTTATTACAACCCCCTTCCACTCTCGGTTGCAGACCATATGCCTGCCAGCGACTGAAGCGCTCCATGGATTACCTCAACAGTCTGTCCGGCGAGGACCAGCACATGTTGTCCAAGTACCGGGCCCACCTGAGCTGTGTACGCACGTGCATCGATCGAAATCAGGCCGTTATCCGGGAGATATTGCGGGAGCGTGTGCTCTATCCGGATCCGGACTCCGGTTCACCATCCAATCCATCATCGGACCGTTGGGAATTTGACGAGCCGCCGCCTCATGTCAGGCATGGCGATATGGACCAGGTACTATTGGGGGAATCTCTGTAACATTTCTATTACATTTTCATTTTGTTGTTGTAAAAAGTTGTTTAACTTTCAATTAAATCCACACACTCATCCACCTTTTCCAACTATTACTTTTGAATTGGCACAAACAAAGTCTATATCTATATATCGTATCTTTTCCAAATCTGTCCACCGACACCCGCACCCATCCGCTATCCACCAATATCGCAGAATTCTATTGCACTTGATGATGCTGACGTTGAACCTCTCAAAATTTTAAAGGCCCAGTCGACATTGAAGTTGATTGCGCGCGACTGGAGCACCGATGGCGCCCTGGAGCGGGAGCAGTCCTACAAGCCCATCATTGACTGCATCGTAGAGTACTTTAAGCCCAGTGACTAGTAAGACAAGGCCATCTTAATCATTTATTGTTTTAATTAACTTTTAATCACTTGCTAGTGAGCTGAAGGAGATCAAGATTCTGGTGCCGGGAGCTGGACTGGGACGTCTCACCTATGAGCTGGCCTGTTTGGGGTACTCCTGCGAGGGCAATGAGTTCTCCTACTTTATGCTCATTGCCTCCAACTTTGTTCTGAATCTGTGAGTTTGACCATTCCAAAGAAGCTTCTTCTATAGAACTCCTCATCTTTCAGTTGCGATTATGAGAACAAGTATGTGTTGTATCCCTGGGTCCATCAGTATGTGAATAATTTGAGGCGCGAGGACCAGGTGGCTGCCGTTCGCTTTCCGGACGTCTGTCCGCTGAAGAACCCGCCCAAAGGTCACTTCGAAATAGCCGCTGGTGACTTCCTGGAGGTCTACAAGACGCCGCACACCTACAACTGCGTGGCCACATGTTTCTTCATCGATTGTGCCAACAATGTTATTGATTTTATTCGAACCATTTACAAGTAGGTTGATAGCCCATCCGATCTATGGTTTCTTTTTGTTAATTGGTGTGTTTTGTTTACAGAATTCTCGTACCGGGTGGCATTTGGGTGAACCTTGGGCCGCTGCTGTATCATTACAGCGATGTCAGTGGCCAGAATAGCATCGAGCCGACGTTCGAGGATCTGTGCATCATTATGGAGAGCATTGGCTTTGTGATCGAGAGTTCGCGCACCGGCATTCGCACCAAGTACGCCCAGAATCCGTCCTCGATGAAGCAGAGCGAGTACCAGAGCCTGTTTTGGGTCTGCCGCAAGCCGGATCCGTTTGAGGAGCAGCGCGGCAAGCGCAAGGCCTCACGGGAGCCTCATGATCTCATTGTGCGCGCCGACACCGACGAGGAGGAGGAGGAGGAGCGCGAGCGGGCCAAGCAGGAGCAGCAGGAACTGGCCGATGCCGCGATCAACAATGAGACTGAGATGCAGGACCTGGCCCAGCCAACGTGATAGCCGAGAGCGAGAGATAGAAGCGAGAAATCAAAACCTTAACACAACCACCACACATCACCATAATCCAAATACCGAAATCGAAAACCAAATTATAATCCAAAAACCCACCACCACCTCAAGGATGCCATCACAAGACAGGGAACTCGAATCGAAGAGGCGTCACTCGATGATTCGTTAAGTGTGTACATTTAATATAAGGATGCCTTGATTTACAAGAAGTTTTAAAACACCTTTATAATCGTAAGCTGGAACGAACCCGGAAACCGGAAGCGGAAACGGAAACGGAAACTACAACTACAACGACAACAAATATATCTCGTAGGCGAAACAAAATATACACAAAGATTTATATAAACTTTATATAGAAAAAGGATAAGAAAATATAAAAATAAATATGTTTTTATTTTCGCCAACATTATTGTAACGCCCCCATGTTACCTTATTAAACCAGGGTCACGACATCCTGCTGCTGCATAACTCAAAAATCCCGTTGTTTTTCATCGTTTCTCTATGGACAGTCTTATGACGCGAGTTGATATGGCTCGTATCCCCATCGTGGGGATGAGGTCAGAGGGTCACTGGATCACGTCAGTTCTCCGTCCGCCACTGGCTTGTACGGATATCCAGGTGACGCAGCTTAATCTCGGAATGGATCTTCTCGAAATTGGTACCACCCTTGCGGGCAGTCTCTGCCAGGATCTCGAACCAGATGGCCTCGCTCAGTTCGCCGCCGCTGCACATGGAGGTGCGCGGGCAGCTTAGGACACGCTCCCGAAACTGCCGCACCAGCTCCCCGAGGCTGGGATGGTAGGCGGTGGCCTCGTTCCCCGCAATATCCGGCAGCAGGAAGGTGTTAAGGCAGCGGGCTTCACCACGTCCCCGATAAATGGGCAGTCCCGTGGGCTCGTACAGGTGCGTCAGCATCCTTTCTATACGTTCCCGCTGCTGGGGCTCGAAGTCCAAACGCTGGGCACGATTCCGCACGAACAGCAGCTGCGGCACGTGGTCTCGGACATAGCCCTTGCAGGGAAAGCGCGGCCTCAAGCGCAGGGCAGCATTCAGCAGACGCAGGTGCTCCACAGCCACACCGTCGATGACCAGGATGAGCACATGGCACACGCTCAGCAGCTGGGCCACCAAGCCCAGGCAGTGCATGTCCAGGTTATCGGTGTCCTTGCATGTGGCCAGCAGTGGCGGCGTGTCTACCAGTATGTGACGCTCTCGGGTGATGAAGAACTGCAACGCCTCGGTCCTCGAACGAAGCACATTCTTCTGGCTGCCGTTGTTTGTCTTTTTGGGCCGCGTCGAGAATATGCACTCGTCCGCCTCCGGAATGAACAGGTGCTGGTAGTAGTCATAGTCCAGCGGTCGCTCGGACGCCAGGAGATTGAGCAAGGTGCTCTTTCCGCAGCTCTGGCCCCCCAGAACCCCGATTACCGTGAAATCGGTGTTGGTTTTGTTGAACAGCTTGCGGGCATTGGCATTAAAGACGCCGTTGGCGACGATCAGGGGAGTGGGGCGGGTCATACGCGGCGGCTGGAGGTCCTGGATGGCGGGTGCAGTTCCGTTGGCAGTGGATGTCGGGTTGCAGCTTCTATCCCGGCAGCTGTTCGTCGCCGAGGATGAACTGACCAGAGCCGCGCACACCGAGTTGCTGGGCACTGAAACATGGGCCAAGCTTGAGGCAGATCCTCCTGCTCTGGCCGTGGGCGACATCATGGCTTGATATCGTTCCGGTAGCCGGCCATCGGTGGTCCGATTTATAATTATGGTCTTTAAGGATGAGTTCGTATCGTGGTTACTGCTGCGAAGCTCCGAGTCACGTTCCCTCACCTTATCCCGTTCTGATTCCCTATCCCGCTCCTTGTCGTGCTCCTTGTCCCGATCGCGGTCCTTCTTCAGCAGGATCTTTGGCTGTAGAAGGCGGGGGTCATCGCAGCGCCGGGCAATGGTGACCGGCGCCAGGACATTAGCGGACTGATGGTCATCCCGCTTCTTGTTGCGGAACCGGCGGCGCTGTTCGGCCATTAAAAAGTCCAAATAAATTTGGATGTTTTAAAATTTACACGTTTGGCTTTGTTCACTACCCGAACAGCTGTTGGTGTCCGCAAAAACTGCTTGCCAATAAAAACACTGTTTACCAACCCTGTTATCGATTTATCGATAAAGAAATGAGAGGATATTTTGGCGCATTTTTTAAAAATTATATCTAGTTTGAAACCTTATAGAATAAAAGATAATTTTAAAAACTCTGCCATAGTTTTCTTTTTATTAAAGATTAATCTTAAAACCTAGAAAAGGGCATTAGTATATTTTTAAACAATTAAATTCATACTATATATTTTTCCTTACCAACACGCAACAGAAAATGTGAACTGCTTTCATTTCCTAAACCAGCCACTTACCAACACTGCTGCTGCTGCTGGTCCAGCGTGGTCCCCGCTATTTATTTACTTTTGTTTATTTATTAAAATTCATCTGCAAAAGCCATGCCTATTGTTGTGATAACGGGTCTGCCGGCCAGCGGAAAGTCCACTCGAGCCCGCCAGCTTCGTGACCACTTCGAGGAGAAGGGCAAACGTGTTCACCTGATCACCGAAAACGAAGCGGTCCCCAAGGCACTCTTTGAAAAGAACTCGCACGCCGGGGATTCGCAAAAGGAGAAGGTGGTGCGAAGTGATTTAAAGTCCGAGGCTTCACGAAACCTCAACAAAGACGATCTGGTCATCCTGGATGCTGGCAATTATATAAAAGGTAAGTGTTGAGCTATCCCTAATAATATAGAAGACGAACTAAACATTCCATCTACTCCAGGCTATCGCTATGAAATCTATTGCATGACAAAAGCAGCTAGGACCAACCAATGCACTCTGTTTTGCTGCATTCCCCAAGAGCAGGCCTGGGAATTTAATAGCAAACGTACGGCGACGGATGAACTGCCTCCGGAAGCCGAAACACCGGAGCAGCCGGTGAACAATTCGGATGTGCCTTACACCCGTGAGATCTTTGATGCCCTGTGCATGAGGTACGAGGAGCCGCAGAGCAACAATCGTTGGGACAGTCCCCTGGTGGTGGCCCTGCCGGAGGATACCCTGGATGTGGAGGCCATCTACAAATCACTGTACGAGACTCGTCCCCTTCCGCCCAATCAGAGCACGCAGAATGTAAGATATTCTTATAACCCATAGTCTCTGAAACTAAGCTATAACGTTTGCAGCCACCTCTGGGAGCCACCAACTACCTGTTCGAGCTGGACAACATTATGCAGTCGATAATCAAGGAAATACTGGGCGCGGTCAAGATCAAGGCCTTCGGCCAGCTACGCATCCCGGGAAGCTCTAGCCCCGTGAAGGTCACCACCTCGATGAATGCCCTCCAGCTCAACCGGCTGCGACAGAAATTCATCACGAGCACCTGCCGGGCGAGTCAAACAGCACCCACGCCCCTGGAGCAGGTGCCTCAGCTTTTTGTCCAGTTCATCAATGCCAACACAATTGGCTGTTAGGAGTTTGTGATTTTTAAAAAATTAATTAAATATCTATTTTTTTTATTTAGAATAAAAATATGTGACTGGTAATGTTTGTTTTTGTATTTAACAGTAACAGAGCTCAAGAGCATGAGCATGTTAGTTCGCTGTTAAAAATTGAGAGAGTGACTCGGAAGCTATGCTCTCTTTTTGGTGGTTTTGCTCTTAAGAGAGCCGTGAACTTCAAGTGAATGAACTTTTCTCTTAATGTATCTGGTTAAATGTATCTGTAACCGAACAGTGCGGCCTCTGCGGCCGTTGGCAGAGCACAAAAGTCTGCTTAAGCATTGCGATTTAACAGTGCTGCCTCAGTCGACGCCGGCAGCGGTCGCTCACGTCGCTTAAAAGCATCAACAAAAACAACATTTTTTTTTTCGAAAAAAATCGTTCTCTGCGTTCGCATCGCGGCCGCTGGCCTGGAAATTCGGAAAAACTCGCGGAAAAGCCGGTAACTAGGGAAAACTCGAGCTATCGAGCCGCCTAAATCGAAAAAGAACGCGATTGTGCCGCTGTGAAAATTGTGCCGAGTAGGAAAACTTGGGGAAAAACGCTCCCAACAAAAAATAAAAAAAAATTGGAAAATTTTTTTTTTGAAACAGCTTTGTTTTTGTTTTGTGATCCGGCGTCTATTTTTTGTGTGGATGGTGTTTTTTAATTGTGACAAAAAAAATAATAGAAAAATATTTGTAAAAAAAAAAATGCACAAAAACGCATTCGACATTTTGATTAATTGAATTTAATCAAAAATCTATTATTCACTATTTTTTAATGGCATTTTTTTATATGTGTGTGTTTTCTGTTTACAGTTGACGCTTCATCAGCAATTTTTGGCCACAAATTTTAAGCCAAAAAAAATATAGAAAATTAATGGAATTTAAAATGGAAATTTCAAAACCAAGCAAGGAGTAATTAAACAGCTGCTAGAATCTTGAATTTCCTTAAAACTAAACAACAACCAACAACAACGATAAAATCAACAGCAAAAAATACACTTCAAAAGTGATTAGTTTCAAAAATTGTCTTCAAAATCCCTATATCTATTCAAAAAAATTTACCAAAAATACAAAAGAGAAAAGCTGCAAAAAAAAGCTTTAAAAATTAAGGGAAATAACCAACCAGTGCACGTGTATGTGTATGTGTGTGTGTGTGTTTTTGAGTGCGGGTGCTTGTAACGGTAAAACAAAGCCATACCGATGAAAACCTCAAAAAAATAATTAAAAAACAAGTGAAATAAAAAACAAATCAAAAAAAGAAGGATAATTCTAATTCTAACGGTAATCTGAGAGTGAACTGGAAGAATCGCTTGCTGGCAGAGCATGGATTTCCCCTCCCCCCAACCGCCCGCACCCCCCACTGCACCACCATCTACGGTATTCGCTAAAGCTGGCCCTTAAAATAATAAGCGCCAGCCGAATGCCATAAAGATGCCACCGCTGCAACGGAAAAAATTCAAGTAAGTCTTGATTTTAAATTTTAAAAAATATATATTATTTATAAAGAGCTAAAAACTATATACAAAAATTAAATGATAGTTTGTAAAAAAAGCTTTGAAATCGGTTAGATTTTACTTGGACTTTAAATACTTTATTTTAAATATTCTTGGAATTGGTTTATATATGTTTTTTACTTTAAAAATTCCACTAAAAAAAGCTGAAGCTAAAGCTTATAAAGTCTAGAATTAATAACATAAAATATTGAATCTATAAAGCTCATTTTTTTCAAGAATTTGGATTTCTTTTTCAAAAAGAACAGTTCTGAGGAATAAAATTGGGTTTCTACCAAAAAATTTGAACTATTACCTCATTCTTTGTTAAAAAAAAAATATGATTTCCTAGAAAGGATTTTTATTTAAAGGTCAAATTCTATAAATCTTTAAAAATTTCATTAAAAAAAGTAATCAATTTAAAACTGTATAGAAGAACTATACAGAACTTACAGAACTAAATAGCTAGGAAAATATGTAGAAGATACTCTATCCTATGATCGACCTTTGGAAATTATTTTCAAAGACTTCCATAATCTTCAAAAATCAGAAATAAGAGAGATATTTCAAATAAAAACTACAAAAAACATCAAAAACATTTAAAAATTAAATTGTTAGACTATAAGTCTTAAAAAATATTAAAATCTATAATAAAAAATTTCATAAAAGATCAAAATTGCTAAAAAAATCTTTAAAAACTTTAGAAATTAGAAATAATATCGAAAATCCCTGTAAAGGAATTCCCCACAAAATAAATTACAAAGTTCATTCCCCAGATTTTCGTTCACTTTAATAAGCGAGCAATAATCCCAATGATGGCATTATAATTGGCCCCATTGGGTTGCATGTGGCATGTGAAATTCCGCTTCTGGGGGATGTGGGGTGTGGGGCGGTAAAGTTGGGTTAAGTTTAGGAGTTCAAGAGGGCGCGCTTAGTCACCCCGCCTTAGTTAAAGCAAGGGGCGGGTGCAAGCAGGGGGCTGGGGGGCTGAAGCAGCTGGAGGAGCTGACTGAAGAAGCACATGTCAGAGCCCGGTTCGTTGGCCTGGCCCGGAGTTTAGGTTTATCTCTCTCTCTCTCTCGCTCTCTCTCTGGAGTTCGGCGCTCTCTGTTTATGAATGAAACGCAACGAGGAAGCGCGCGCAAATTCAAAAAAAAAAAAACACAGAAAAGAAAAGAAAAATAAAACAAGAAGAGAGAGGTAATACGCTCTTTGCTTGGACTCTCTCACTGGGGCTTTCTCGCTCTCTTTCTCTTTTGGTCTCGAGTTCATCGACCTTTGCTATTGAAATTTTTGGGAACGAAACGCACACACAGATACAAACACACACACACACACACATATACTCAGATACGTTTATTTACACATTGATAAACAATTGTTGATGCTGAATGTCGATGACTACACGAAAAATAAAATAAAAAAAATTAAAAAAATCATTAATTATTAATAGATTTATATTTCATAATATTATGTATTATAAGTAACAGTTATTAAGACGAGCCTATTGGATTTTATTTTCTTTAAATATTACTTATTTTCAAATCAATTCCTTGGGAAAGAAATCTAAATCCCATTTATCGATATGTCGCGTAACCTGATCACTAACTGTAAATAAAATCCTAACAATTGTTTGGTTATAATAAACATTTGTTTTTCTTAGCCAAGTTTGTTGTTTGGGGCCAAAAAAAGTGACCTAAAAGCCATGTATTTGGCCAATCAATCCAAAAACCAGCCCAAATAAGAATATTTGAGTTATATTTGAATAGAAATTGATTATATAACGTTTAAGGTTCGAAATCTACATGAGAAAGAAATAAAAAAATATATTTTTTATTATTTTCTTAAAGAGCATTTTATAAAACAAGGCTTTGTAAATTATTTTTAAGTATAATTATACTTAAAAACGGTTAAAAGTTTACTTTTAAAGAGTAATTTTTTGTTATTTTCGATATAAATATAAAAAGAATGGTTACTAATAGTTTTTTCTATTATAAATTATTTATTTTTCACATTTTTTAAACCTTTTTAAGCCTTACCTTTTAATAATTAATATTTTTAACTAAAAATATCATCTTTTTTTCAAGTGTAGGGCATTAAAAGTGCGGCCAAAGCTTGAAAGCCTATAACTTTATTGCCTGGTTTCTTCTTCCTGATTGCTGATGTATGAGTGTGTTGCGTGTGTGTGTGTGAGTAGCGGGTGGGTTGGCAAACGCACGATAACAACAGGGAGTAGAGGAGAGGAGGAGAGCGGGTCTGACGAGGGGGAGGTTGGGGAGCCAAAGGGAGGTTAAGGTCTGGGCATTGTTTTGTTTTTGGCTTCTACTTTGCATTACGACTGCCTGTTACCAAGAGTCCCAAATGGCTTTCATGTATCTCTATGTGTGTGTGTATCCATGTGTGGAGTATCTGTGTGTATCTGTGTGTGTATGTATTGGAGAGGCCAATGACCAAAAATGTAGTGACAAGGGCGTCAGAGAGATTCCACACACAAATTTTTGTGTATATTTTCGCCATTACATTACAGGCCCAGAAAAATAACAAGCAAGAGGAATATCTGGATCTGGATCTGTATCTGAATCGGATTTTTCAAACCCTTGACTCTGTCTCTCTCTCTTCCTTATGCCCTTATTTTTTTTTTTTTGTAGGTAGTTAGGTATTTTTGCAGAAACCAACCACTTCACCCTGCCCAGAGACACAAAACGTTTTGTGGAAACCTTCAAAATTTCGTTTCAATGTCATGTAACCCCCGTTTTACATGGCTCACATATGCCAGAAAGAGACAGCACCAAGACCGGGGTTGGGGGGGGTTATGATGAGATGAGAGGGCAGTAGCAGAACGCACATTTGGGTGTCCAATTAAGTGAAAAAAAAATAATACAAAATATTTAGAGGTATTTCGAATCTCTAAGAAAGTCTGAGAACTTTTCTACTTTTTAAGATTAAAATACTGATTATTTTTATAGCTAAAAAGTAAAATCTATTTTTACTTATAATTTATTCTCATCTGAAGCTATTGTATTTATTACAACTTATGGCTGTTATCGCCTTTGTTTCATTTTGTTTTTGCCTTGCATTTTAATCAATGCCAATGAACTTGAAGTTTATTTAGAGGGGCGGGGGAGAGATAGAGGAGCTTCAAGGGGGGGGACTGGCTGGGAGAGGTGGGGGAAAGGCGGACAGGTGGGTAATGCACCCGAGAATAAACACGAGACTGTCTTATCATTTTTCTCTTATTATTTATTTTCTTATACAAAAATATTCCACTGATATCAGATATTTTTTTCTTCGAATTGATAGTTATCGATAATATATCGAGGGTAGTGGCCCCATCCCTGAGTGGCTTGATCCCAATCGAATCTTGGCTTTGGACTGGAATGTTTCCTTATCTCTAGTTGGCTTTTGTACTTTTTCTTCTGACAATATTGTACCTCGTAGTTGCCAGTGGGGGTGGTGGAGCCAGTGGAGTCAGGGGGCCACGGGGTAGAAATGGGAGTCAGCCAGTGACACACAC